ATATTTTGGCAAAAATGTAACATTAAAAGAGGAGCATATTGGGGCTGGGAAGGTGGCTCAGTGATAAAGCGCTTGCCTTGCATGCCTGAGGCCCTGGGTTTGATTCCTCAGCACCACATAAGCAAAAAGAAAAAAGCCAGAAGTGGTGCTGTGGCTCAAGTGGTAGAGCGCTAGCCTTGAGCTGAAGAGCTGAGGGACAGTGCCCAGGCCCAGAGTTCAGGCCCCACGACCAGACCCCCCCCCCAAAAAAAAAAGAGGAGCATATTTAATCAAAACATTTAAATTGATTCAGAGGTTAAAATAAAGGCAATTGTATTAATCTGTTAAAAGCTATTAACAAAAAGCTGCTAAAATGTGAAAAGGCAGTTTGAGCTATTTCACTATAAATTTGATATGTATTTCTTTTTTTTGGGGTCCGGTTGTGGGGCCTGAACTCTGGGCCTGGGTGCTGTCCCTCAGCTCTTCAGCTCAAGGCCAGTGCTCTACCACTTGAGCCACAACACCACTTCCAGCTTTTTTTTCTGCTTATGTGGTGCTGAGGAATCAAACCCAGGGCCTCAAGCATGCAAGGCAAGTGCTCTACCACTGAGCCACCTTCCCAGGCCGATATGTATATTTCTTTGTGATATCACTAGTCCACTAAATATACTCAGTAGTCACAAGTTAAATGAATTTCTCATAAAACTACACATAGGATTATGCATATTGACAATAAGATGTTGCACATTCTAGAGATTTTAAACAGTGGTTATTATGCAAGGAGAACTTTATACTAAACTCAACAAATCTTGTTTCAGTGTCCTTTTTTATCATGGAAACAAATAAATATAATATTCAGAAATTTTACTTGACAGAAAATAATTTGAGTCATATGTATTCCTTTGCAATTTTCACATCTAATTTTATTTAAGGTATTAACTATACACACAGTAATTTCAATGAGAAATTATTTGATTTTACTTCAACTTTCAGGGATGATTTTAATACATACTGAGATCTAAAATAATTACAAATAGCAACGAGACTATACATTTTTAAAACTGGACAAATGGAAAATACATTGAAATGTAAATCAGAAAGTAGTTATTATCTGTTTTATTAAAAGATTCTTAAATACAGAGAATAATCTGCAACATATCCTTTAAATATGCATGCATGAAAAATAAATTTGACAAAGATCAGCCTATCCACAACCTCACCAGTTGAAGAGGCACTACTTTTATCCACACAAAACATAAAAAATGTTTCAATAGTTCAAAAATAGAAGAGGCTGAAAAAACTGATTTCTCTGAAATAAAGAAACTTAAGAAAGCTATTTAAGAAAATTTAATAATCTTGTTATTTAGTGCTGGTATCAGGGCTTGAACTCAAGGCCTTGTACTTTTGCTTGGCTTTTTCTGCTCACAGCTGGTGCTCTACTATTTGAGCTATGCCTATAGTCCAGTATTTTGCTAGTTAATTGGAGATAAGAATCTCAAGGATTTTTGTGGCTAGTCTGCCTTCAAATCATGATTCCCAGATCTCAGCTTTCTTAATATCTAGGATTACAGACACAAGTCACTGGTGTGGCTAAGAATCTATTTTAAGCATTTTGGCCACAAATTATAACTCACTTTTGGCTCCTATCTCTGCTAATCTTTGAATCAATGTGGACTATATGGAATGGCCATTCACGATTTGGGTTAAATGTCCTGAAAAGAAGAAAAATCTATATGTACAGAAAGTAGTTAGAAAAAAAATGAGTGAAGTACAACACATACTCCTTAGGTTGTAAAACTATACCAGTCTAACAAAAAGCACCAAGATACTGACAGATATCAAGTCAATATTACATAACTTATTAAGTATGCTTCATTTGTTGACTATTTGGCATTTGGGAAGCTAAATTAGTTTAGGAAGCTAAAAAAGATTTGTTACTGAATTGAAATTAGTAGTGACAATAGCATAGGGAGACTTTTTTATTTTGACAGTATTGTGTTGTTGAGGATCAAACCTAGGGCTTCAGATATACTAGGGAAGTACTCTACCACTGAGCTATACTGCCAGTTCCACTCCTTTGATAAACATGGAAAGATTTAACATTTCATTAGGGAAAAGAAAATGTATATTTTTGGGAAAACAGAAACTAAAGAATACAGAAATAAAGAATGTAAGGCACTTATTTCAGTGGATTTGCCTATTAAGGGCAAAGTATGTTTTATCGTTGTTTTGGGTTTTTTCCTTTTGGAGAAAGTCCTTCCACCCAAGATCCATAAACTTCGTTCCTTTAATAGATCTTTGTTGTTAAACTTAACACCTGTTAAGTTACCAAATATAATAGGTACTTGCAGATTCTTAATCATTTGTTACTCTAAAAATAAGGAAATACATGCTTTTAACTCAAAATTGTCTAGTACTTTTAACTATAGTAACACAGAAGCAAATAAGCCCTATCTCTCATATCCAAGATCATCACTTCCAGAATAAAGCTTACTTTTCCCTTTCACTGATGAATAAAAAAATAGTTATCTTAAAAATTCAGTTAAAAAATTTACAAAACTATTTAAGAAAAAGCTGACAAAAGTAGAAGCAGCTTAGTAATATGGTGAACAAAAAACAAAACACACCAAATCACCAAAAGTAACACATGTGATCTTAATATAGCAATAAAAATTCAATTGTTTCATATTACATAAGAAAGAGGATGGTCTACTTCTCTTTCTGAATATGCAAGCTGAGTTTTATTTAAATTGCATTGTTTTGCATGCTCTTATCACAAGTACTACCATGTGACTATTCTCTGTGTACTCAGGTAGCTATGGTCATAGTTTCATAAAACTCAATGCTAAGTACTGGGGGCTTACTACTAAGATGTACAGAGTCGATCTGGAAAACACTATAATTCTCTTTAATTAGACAATTATATAAAAGAGCAAAATGAGAACCAATGAAACAAATGTATCAGTTGTATGACACTGCTATCAAACAATTAAGCTCTAAATAACCATTTAAAAATATATACATAGAAAACTGGGAGAGAACAAGGGAAGTAGTGACATTGGAAAAAAAGAAATATGCTCTTCACCTGACTTAAATAACTGTAACCCCTCTGTACATCACCTTTATAACTACAATAAAAATATTTTTAAAAATACATAGAGGTTATAAGAGTTAGTTTTATAATAATGAAATTGTTAGACGTATCCTAGAGTTACTCTAAGAAATCATGTACTTAAAAAAATTTTTTGTGTGCCAGTCTTGGGACTTGAACTCAGGGCATAAGCACTGTGCCTGAGGGTTTTTGCTCAAGGCTACAGCTTGAGCCACAGCTCCACTCTGGCATTTTGGTGGTTAATCAGAGATAAGAGTCTCATAGACTTTCCTGTCCTGGCTGGCAACAAAGCTGGATTCTAGGACGTCAACCTCCTGAGTATAGGTGTGAGCCATCAGCACATGGCAGAAATTTTTTTAATTAAAAAAATAAAGACAGTATTAATATGAGTTCTGAAGGTGATTTTTTTTATAATACTCTAATAACAAGTGAAAAGCGTAAAAACCTGTTCACTGAACAGTGTATAAAACTAAAATGTATCTTATGAAAATGATCTATAGATTACACCTACTGTGAATCTCTTTAAAAGGTCAAATTAATTATTTTTCTTTTAATAAATGGTTATGAATATGAAAATACTTAAAAGAACATAGCATTTGTACTATGAATTTGCATTGAAAATGTAACTGTTGCTTTGCTCTAACAATGACACAGTATCAGTTTCACAAATAATGTAATCTGCATTTTAAAACAAACATATCTGTATGTAGATATAGGCTTTTTTTTGTTAGTTTTTTTTTTCCAGGGCTGAGGACCGAACTCAGGGCCTTGCACGCGCCGGGCGGATGCCCTTCCGCTGGGCTAAACCCACAGCCCCTGCAGATATATGTTTAACAGTATCTGCATATACTTCCAGAAACAGATCCTCTTTGTAGTGTACTGATTCTGACAAGGTTTTTTATTTAATACTACCATAGAAAATGGGAATATACTGTATACCCTATACTTTTTTTTGGGGGGGGTCCGGTCGTGGGGCCTGAACTCTGGGCCTGGGCGCTGTCCCTCAGCTCTTCAGCTCAAGGGTAGCACTCTACCACTTGAGCCACAGCACCACTTCTGGCTTTTTTTCTTTTTGCATATGTGGTGCTGAGGAATCGAACCCAGGGCCTCAGGCATGCAAGGCAAGCGCTCTACCACTGAGCTAACTTCCCAGCCCCACCCTACACTTTTTTATATTTTTAAATCTGAACGTTCTTTTATTATTTTTTTTTTGGGGGGTCCGGTCATGGGGCTTGAACTCTGGGCCTTGGCACTGTCCCTCAGTTCTTCAGCTCAAGGCTAGCACTCTACCACTTGAGCTACAGCGCCACTTCCGGCTTTGTTTTTGCTTATGTGGTGCTGAGGAATCGAACCCAGGGCCTCAGGCATGCAAGGCAAGACCTCTACCACTGAGCCACCTTCCCAGCCCCTCAACGTTCTTTTAAATGACCATTTGAAAATACATACGTAGAGGTAACAAGAATTACTGTTTTATAATGAGGAAATTGTAATAAAGTTAATGGGTACAAGGAAAAAAAAGCCAATCAAGTCATAAAGTAATAAAATATAATAACATGCACTATTTCTAAGAAAGTCTCACATAAGCAGCAAATGATAAGAGCAGTCTTATGAAAACTTATGGATATCTCTTTATGTATATACTTAAAACTCATTTTCCTTTTCTTTTTTTGGTTGGTCGTGGGTCTTGAACTTTCAGCCTAGTCACTGTCCCTGAGTTCCTGAGCTCAAGGCAAGCACTTTACCACTTGAACCACAGCGCCACTGTACCACTTCTGGTTTTCTGGTGGTGAACTGGAGATAAGAGTCTCATGGACTTTCCTGCCCTAGCTGGCTTTCAACTGCAATACTCAGATCTCAGCCTCCTGAGTAGTTAGGATTACAGGTATGAGCCATCGGCGGCCAGCTCACTTTCCTTTATATAATTTCTATTTTAATTTAAATGTCATGTTTTCAACTAATGTTTAAATTACTGGTTTATTGTAGAATTTTAATTGTTATAAAGCCATTAAGTACCTTCAGAAACTTGCTTGAAAAATGATCTTTCCTTCTATTATAACATTAAATATGTATTAAATATTATGTATATGAAATAGATTTTGAACTTGAACATATTCAAGATCAGTATTATGATAGAATGAATTATAGAGAAACATTGTAGAAATCTTAAAGACCATGTAATAGTAAGGAAGGAACTGTCTGGAATATTGCAGAGTAGAATTGACATTTTACCAGAGAAAGTTAATTCTAGATTTTCTGTTTCCCTCAAAACCTTGGACATGGTTAACAGCAAGAGAGAAGCAGCAGCAGCATTTTGAATGTCCAAACTCTGATCTGCAACAGACACCACATAGGTAGAAGAAAATCACATTTAAGTCAAGTAACTTCAGTTTTTGAAATGAAGGCTCATTACTTTTCAAGATTGGAAGGAGATCACAGTGTTGATTTTATATACAAAGTAGGACCTGTTCCAGTATACTCTAGTGAAATAATTCACGTATGGAGAATAGTTAATTTTGACCTCGTGACAAAATCGTCCATATTTTGAGTAGGTTAACTTGTCACCTTCTTCACAAACTACCTATCAAAAGAAAAGAAATACAATGTTTAAATTTATTGAAATTTAATGAGAAAAATGCAACTCGTGTACAAGTAACCAATGTACAAATCCTTAAACATTTGACATGAAAAAATATTGCTGCCAGGCACTGGTGGCCTGTAATCCTAGCTACTCAGGAGGCCGAGATCTGAGGATCATGGTTCAAAGCCAGCCCCGCAGGAAAGTCTGTGCGACTCTTATCTCCAGTAAACCACTAGAAACCAGAAGTGGTGTTGTGGCTCAAGTGGTAGAGAGCTCGGCTTGAGCTGAAGAGCTGAGGGACAGCGCCCAAGCCCATACATACATATCTATCTATCTATCTGTCTATCTATATTACTGCTAAACATTAACTATAAAATACCTCACACTTTTTAGCAAATATAAGACTTGTCATAAGTCATCATGTCTACTAAACTCCTGAAGTTTCTATCAGATTGAGAAACGAGTACAAAATATTTCTAATTATTAAAAGATGTAATCCCATAATTTACAGACACTGTTTCCTCTGAAAAACCAAATCACAGAACTTGATAAGGCTGAAAAGTGAACACATTATAATCCTACTCTGTATTCCTACTCTTGAATATAGATTGATAATTACCTAATTACCTAAAATAAACTAAGACAACTCAACTCACTTTCAGGCTTTTTAAAACAGTAAAATGCTTGCTGGATATGTACCTTAGTAGTACAGCATTTGAATAAAGTAATAAGATAATAAATAGAATCTTAATATCTATCAAAGATATCAGAAAGTCAACTTTAAAAGGAGAGGCTAAGCACAGATGGCTCACTACTGTAATCTCACCCACTCAGGAGAATCACAGCTCAAAGCCAACCCAGCAGCAAAGCCCATGAGACTCTTATATCCAATTAACTACCAAAATAGCCATAAATGGAGCTGTGGTTCAAATGGTAGAGCACTAAGTCTGAAGCACAAATGTGACTTTTTTTTTTGGTCGGTCCTGGGGCTTGAACTCTGGGCCTGGGTGCTGTCCCTGTGCTCTTCAGCTTAAGGCGAGCACTCTACCGCTTGAGCCACAGTGTCACTTCTGGTTTTTGAGTGGTTTATTGGAGATAAAGAGTCTCACCGACTTTCCTGCCCAGGCTGGCTTTGAACCATGATCCTCTTTTTTTGGGTCCAGTCGTGGGGCCTGAACTCTGGGCCTGGGCGCTGTCCCTCAGCAATTCAGCTCAAGGCTAGCACTCTATCAACTTGAGCCACAGCGCCACTTCCGGCTTTTTTCTTTTTGCTTATGTGGTGCTGAGGAATCGAACCCAGGGCCTCAGGCATGCAAGGCAAGCACTCTACCACTGAGCCACCTTCCCAGCCCCTGTGTGACTGTCTTATACAAAGAAAATCCTATATAGACATCTGACCCGATCCTACTGCACAAATAAAATATTTTAAACCACCACAACAAAAAGCTGTAGTTGATGTAAAAATTAACATCCAGCTACATCCTAACAACTGAAGTCACTCTGATCACACTGCATAATAAGGATTCATTGCACATGTCCTATGTTAATTGGTAAAATCATTTTTTCTAGCTATGAATCAAATTACATAAGATTACTCAACGTAAGAATGTGACTGTGCTGAGAGCTGCTGGCTCACACCTATAAACCTAGCTACTCAGGAGGCTGAGATCTGAGGACCACAGTTCAAAGCCAACCTGGACAGCAAAGTCCTGAGACACTATTTTTTTGTTTTTATTTTTTGTTGGTCATGGGGCTTGAACTCTGGGCCTGGGCGCTGTCCCTTAGCTCTTCAGCTCAACGTGAGCACTCTACCACTAGAGCCACAGTGGCCACTTCCAGTTTTCTGGTGGTTTCTTGGAGATCTCTTGGCCTTTCCTACCCAGGCTGGCTTTGAACCACGATCAGATCTCAGCCTCCTGAGTAGCTAGGATTACAGGTGTGAGCCACTGGTACCTGGCTGCTAAGACTCTTAACTCCATTTAACCACCAGAAAACCAGAAATGGTGCTGTAGCTCAAACGGTGGAGCATTCATGTGCTCAAGGCCCAAACTAACAAAACAAATAAATAAGTTTAAAAAATATTAGAATATAACACTGTAACTAGCTGCCCTTTAGGTTATTACAAGCAAATCATCATTCCAATTAAATTAATTCATCTTTTATTTATAAATACTGAGTGAGGGTATAGCTCAGTGGTAGAACATTTGCATGCCCATGAGGCCCTAGATTCATTCCCAGCATTATTAAAAAAAAAAAGACTAGATGTTTGCGCATTGAAAAACACAACACAAGCATATACAATTAATAAGGAATTTTGGTATTGGTAAATGTATTTTTTTCTTTGTAAAAAAACGTATATAACCCGGGGGCTGGTGGCTCACGCCTGTAATCTTAGCTACTCAGCAGGCTGAGATCTGAAGATCATGGTTCAAAGCCAGCCTGGGCAGTCCGTGAGACTCTTATCTCCAATCAACTACTGAAAATGGAAGTGGCTCTGTGGCTCAAGTGGTAGAATGCTCGCCTTGAGCTGAAGAGCTCAGGAACAGTGCCCAGGCCCAGAGTTCAAGCCCCATGACTGACCAAAAAAATAAAAAATAAAAAAAATATATATATGTTTATGTATATATATATACATTATATACACACAAAACACATTCACATATACAGACAATATATGCATATATATTCATCTATCTATCTATCTATCTATCTATCTATCTATCTATCTATCTATCTATCTATCTATCTATCTATCTATCTATCTATTGTGTGTATGCTAGTGCTCCTACAGGGGCTTGTACTTCAGGGCCTGGTGCTCTCTCTTGCATTTTTCACTTTGCAGGCATTCTACCACTTAAACTACCTCTCTACTAACAGCTTTTTGCAGGTAAACTGGAGATAAAATTTTCAGGGATTTGTCTGTCTCAGCTGAGTTTGAACCTTGACACTCCGATCTCAGCCTCCTGAGTAGCTAGAATTACAGGAATTAGTCACCAGAGCCCAACTTCAATTATATTATTAGTTATGTTCCAAAATTAAAGTCTAAAGTAACTTTTCAGATACTTACATGGCCATTTGCAACATCTAATAAATCTTTAACTCTACAACCACTCATGGTTCCCATCTCATTGCAGATAGAGTCTTCTATGATTAGGTAGTTAGCTTTGTAGGATGTCAGTATTTTGTAAATATCTTCAGCAGATCGCTTGGAATAGATTTGATATATCTGAAATATTAAAATTGATTTTAAAAGACAATGAAACTAAAAGTTCATTAAAATACAATTTACATACCATCCAATTCATCTATTAGATTTTTAATATATTTATAGTTATGCATTCACCATTATTTTTCCATCATTTGCATTACCTCCAGAGAGAAACCTTGTATCCAACCCCTTTGCCTTCTTCCATCGGAGGTAACCAATAATCTATGTGTCTACAAATGTACCTATTCTGGTCAGGTGCTAGTTGCTCACATCTATAATCCTAGCTACTCAAAAGACTGAGATCTGAGGATCATGGTTCAAAGCCAGCCTGGGGAAGAAAATCTGTGAAAGGGCTGGGAAGGTGGCTCAGTGGTAGAGCGCTTGCCTTGCATACTTGAGGCGGTAAGTTCGATTCCTCAGCACCACATAAGCAAAAAGAAAAAAAGCCAGAAGTGGCGCTGTGGCTCAAGTGGTAGAGCGCTAGCCTTGAGCTGAAGAGCTGAGGGACAGCGCCCAGGCCCAGAGTTCAGGCCCACGACTGGACCCCCCCCCCCCCCAAAAAAAAAAGAAAATCTGTGAGAATTTTATCTCCAATTAAGAACTAAAAAAAGCCAGACATGGAGTTGTGGTGTAAGTGGTAGAGTGCTAGCTTTGAGCAAAAAAATTCAGATAGCACCCAGGTCCTGAGTTCAAGCTTCAAGACTAGCACAAAAAATTTCAAAATTTTTTAGAATATTTGAGTTCTAGTCTGCCTTTTTTTTTTTTTTAATGCTGTTGTTTTTATTCTGTTCTTGTGTGTATATATGTGCATGTGTTGGTCCTAGAACTTAAACTCAGGGCCTACACACTGTCACTGAGTTTTTGTGCTCAAGGTTAGCACTCTACTACTTTGAGCCACAGCTCTACTTGCATCTTTTAGTTACCTGGAGTTAAGAGACAGATTTTTCCTGCTAGGCTTGCTTCAAATCTCCATCCTCACATCTCAGTCTCCTGAGTAGCTAGGATTATAGGCATGAGCCACAAGCACCATATTTGCTTTGGCTGTTTATGAAGTGCTACGTGTAGAACTGAAGGCCTTATGCCCAGGAAAATGCTCTACCACTGAAAAACAACAACAACAAAAAAAAAAGAGTTGTTTTTGGGGTCTTGTAAATGTTAAGTGAACACTCTACCACTAAATTGAAACACTAAATTGCTTAGTCTGATCCTAGAATTACAATCGTAGACTACAAAAGGTGGCTAGCACCTATAATCTACATAGTCAGAAGACCAAGATCTGAGGATCTAGGCTCAAAGTCAAGCCAAGGCAGAGAAATCCATGAGATTCTTTTTGTTGTTGTTGTTGTTGTTGGTTGTGGGGCTTGAACTCTGGGCTTGGCACTGTCCCTGCGCTCTTCAGCTCAAGGTGAGCGCTCTACTGCTTGAGCCAGAGCGTCACTTCCATGAGATTCTTATTTCCAATTGACCAGAACAAAACTGGAAGCAGAGGTATGGCTTAAGTACTAGGTGCCAGCCTTGACCAAAACAGCTAAGTGAAAGCATGAGGTCTGAGTTCAAGCCATAGTACCGGTGTGCATGTGTACGTGTGCTCATTCATACACACACATACAAAGAAATTGTATTTCTCCTGCCTCCATCTTCCAAGTAGCTAGGATTATAGTCATACCAACATGTCCAGCTAAATGTTGGATTTTAACTATTAACAGAATTTTAGCTTGGAGAGACAAAGCATACCAAGATATATTACTTTAAAATTTGAGAAAAATATGTTTTCAAAGTAAAGTTTACCTTTCTAAAATACTATACATCAGTTCCCCTGATAACTATGGAAAATTAAATGCTTTCCCCAGAAACATACCAATACTGAACACTATTGAGATACAGATCTGTGTGTCTGTCTCTCTCTCTCTCTATCCATCCATCCATCTACCTACCTACCTACATTTTTCTTTTTTTGGGGGTTGGTTGTGGGGCCTAAACTTTGGGCCTGGGTACTGTCCCTCAGCTCTTCAGCTATAGACTAGCACTCTACCACTTGAGCCTCAGCCCCACTTCCGGCTTTTTCTGCTTATGTGGTGCTGAGGAATCGAACTGAGGACCTCATGCATGCAAGGCAAGCACTCTACCACTGGGCCACCTTCCCAGCCCCCTACATTTTTTTCTTGCAAATTTTAGGCTTGAACTCAGGGCCTGGGTGCTGTCCCTGAGCTTTTTCACTCAAGGCTAGCTAGTGCTCTATCATGTAAGCCACAGCTCCATTTCTAGATTTCATGATGTTTAATTGGAGATAAGTCTCACAGACTTTCCTGCCAGATTTCGAACTGATATTCTTAGATCTCAGCCTGGTAAGCAGCTAGAATTATAGACATGAGCCACTAGTACCTGACCATTATTGGTATTTTGTTGTGGGTTTTTGTTTTGTTTTGCATTTTTGGTCAGTCATGAGGAATTCAGGGCTTGGGTACTGTCCCTGAGCTCTTTTGCTCAAGACTACCATTCTACCACTTTGAGCCATAGTACCACTTCTGGTATTCTGGTGGTTAACTGGAAATAAGAGTCTCATAGACTTTCCTGCCTGGGTTGGGCTGGCTTCAAACCACAATCCTCAGATCCCAGCCTCCTAAGTAGCTAGATTACATGGGTGAGCCACCAGCACCCAGCCAGTATTGATATTTAAAACACAGAAAATAATACTTAATTTTCGATTTTCTTGGTAAATTTTTTTTTTTTTTTGGTTAGTGGTGGGCCTGGGCGCTGTCCCTCAGCTCTTCAGCTCAAGGCTAGCACTCTACCACTTAAGCTACAGCGCCACTTCGGGTTTTCTGTGGTCTTACTGGATATAAGATTTTCACAGACTTAGGCTGGGAAAGTGGCTCAGTAGTAGAACGCTTGCCTTGCATGCATGAGACCCTGGGTTTGATTCCTCAGCACCACAAAAGCAGAAAAAAAAAGCCGGAAGTGGTGCTGTGGCTCAAGTGGTAGAGCGCTAGCCTTGAGGTGAAGAGCTGAGGGACAGTGCCCAGGCCCAGAGTTCAGGCCCACAACCGGACCCAAAAACAAAACATAGATTTTCACAGACTTTCCTGCCCCTGCTGGCTTTGAACCGTGATCCTCAGATCTCAGCCTCCTGAGTAGCTAGGACTATAGGCATGAGCCACCAGTGCCCGGCGGTAAATTTTTTTTTTGTTGGTTGTGGGACCTGAACTGTGAGCCTAGGTGCTGTCCCTTAGCTCTTCAGCTCAAGGTTGGAGCTCTACCACTTGAGCCACAGCGCCACTTCTGGCATTTTCTGCTTATATAGTACTGAGGAATCGAACCCAGGGCCTCATGCATGCAAGGCAAGCACTCTACCACTAAGCTACCTTCCCAGCCCCATCCCTTGGTAAATTTATCATGTAACTTTTAAAACCAAAGTAAATCAGCTCTTCTAAAACTGTTTGGATATTCCTACCTAACTAGCAACAAACGCATTAGCATGAAGTATGCTAAATTGATAGAGTGCTATAAAAGAACTAAATGTAGTCCTCAATATGACTTACATTTTCATTTCTCTTGAGAAGATCATCGTCATTGTAAAGAGGTAAGCTGGTCACCATCCATCCAGTGCACAACTTAATTGCACCCATTAACTGTGGACTCCCTGCAAACACAGCTGCAACTGGAGCTTGCCTTCTGCAAAGAACCAAGAGATGCACAATTAAAATCAAGTACACTATTAAGCTCAATGATTTACATCAATTCTGAAATAGCAGGTAGCTTACAATGTATAATACACTGTTTCAATCATTCAGTTAATTTATGGACACACTTAAAAAACATTATTTTAGCCTAGTACCAATGGCTTGCACCTATAATCCTAGCTACTCAGGAGGCTGAGATTTGAGGATTGCTGTTTGAAGCTAGTTCAGGCAAGAAAGTCTGTGAGACTCTTTTTTTTTTTTGGTCAGTCATGGGGCTTGAACTCTGAGCCTGGGCGCTGTCCCTCAGCTCTTCAGCTCAAGGTTAGCACTCTACCACTTGAGCCACAATGCCACTCCTGGCCTTTTCTGCTTATGTGGTGCTGAGGAATCGAACCCAGGGCTTCATGCATGCAAGGCAAGCACTCTACCACTGAGCTACCTTCCCAGCTCTCTGTGAGATTCTTATCTCCAATTAACTACCAAAAAAAAAAAAAAAGCCAGAAGTGGTGGCTCCGGTGGTAGAACACTAGCATTGAGCAAAAAGGCTCAGAGTTAGGACCCAGGGCCTAAGTTCAAAACTCAGGACCATCACACACACACACACACACACACACACACACACACACACACACACACACACACACACACACACACACACACACACACACACACACACACACACACACACACACACACACACACACACACGATTATTTTGAGTGAAGATACAGAAATTATTTTAATATGTTATTTTCAAGAAGTTGTGCAAGGGAGTAATAAAAAAAAAGGAGCACAGGAAAACAGTAAGTCTAAACATGTAAATGCCATTAAAAATAGCAGTAAATTAACAGACAAGAATATACTATTGGGGGTGGGAAGGTGGCTCAGTGTAGAGTGCTTGCCTTGCATGCATGAGGTCCTGGGTTCGATTCCTCAACACCACATAAGCAAAAAGAAAAAAGCTGGAAGTGGCGCTGTGGCTCAAGTGGTAGAGTGCTAGCCTTGAGCTGAAGACCTGAGGGACAGCGCCCAGGCCCAGAGTTTAGGCCCCATGACCGGACCCAAAAAAAAAAAAAAAAAGAATATAATATTTTGGCTAGTTCAGTGGTGATACTATAAATTCTCAAATCATCTTTTGTGAATATTAACCAACACAACTCAACTCCTACCAGACCCATCTATTCTTCTGCTCCTTCCCTATATTCACTCATGACTATTTATATAACATACGTATGGTCTTTCAAGCCAGGATCATGGCACAAACTTCCAGAAAGAAAATACGTTTAGAATGTGGGAAAACTATAAACACACTACACTGGATTGTTCTAATGCATCTCTATAACTATCTATCTATCTATCTATCTATCTATCTATCTGTCTATCTATCTATCTATCTATCTATCCATCCATCCATTTAGTGTCTATCAATGAATGCAGTACAGAGAGATCAAACCTATGGCCTTGGACGTAAAAAGCAAATGTTCTACCACTGAGCTATTTTCTCAGCTCTACCTTTACTTATTCACTTCATATGTTCAACACTCAGCACCCATCTACTATGTACTATGGATAGTGCCATGCTCTGGAAATGAAGAGATATAACCTAGCTACTGTCCTCAGGAAGCATTCAATGAAAATGGACATAAGATAGAATAAATCATACATCAGATAAAAATCCAATTTTTTTGTCCAAAATCCATTTGTTTAGGCCTTTGTTTTATGTTGAAAATATTATGGTAAATCACAAATATTTGTCTGCCTTGGTTTTATAGTGCTTTGTGATTTACCACAATATTTTCATATGAATAAAATATATATGTAAAATATAAATATAAAACATATAAATTTCAAAAGCATATAACTTCTTCTTTTACTTTTTTCCCCTAGTAATGGAATCTGAACTCAGGATTAGGCAGATACTCACTCTACTACTTGTACCATGCCTACAAACCAGAAACTTCTTTTGTTACTGACAACAGAAGGAAGGCTATATTGTCAGTACTCCTCAATGGTAAATACAAGTTACAAAAAGTTTTAATGGATGATCTGTAGAACATTATTTTTATATATACAAGTCTTTTTAGTAACAAGCCCTCTTTAAAAACAAACAAACAACTATGCTGGGTGCCAGTGGCTCACACCTGTAATCCTAGATACTCAGGAAGCTGAGATCTGAAGATCATGGTGCAGAGCCAGCCTGAGCAGGAAAGACCATGAGACTCATCTTCAATTAACCACCAGAAAACCGGAAGTGGCACTATGGCTCAAGAGGTAGAGTGCTTGCCTTGAGCTGAAGAGCTCAGGGACAGAGCCTAGGCCCAGATCTGGTTCAAGCCCCATGACCAAAGGGGGGGAAAAAAAAAAAGCAATACTCATTTCTATGCATCTACTCTACAAACTGACTGTTCACTGCAGAAATATGTTTCTTCTTTTTTGTTCATTTCCAAAGTCTGAATGTTTCATTCCATTTTCATGTCTACATACACACACACACACACACACACACACACACACACACACACACGCTGTAATAACAGCTTTTCCAGTATTATAGTTATGTAATTTGCTTTGATCAACAGAAAAATAGCCAACACAATATAGGCACAGCTTTAAATATGCTTGACCTTCAAACCTACCCCTAGACACATGGGCAAATCAGTCTGACCCCCTCAGCTGAAATCTAGCCAATCCTAAACTGGTGAAAGAAGTCATGACAGGTTTTCTAGGAGCATCTGAGCTGCTGCTCAAGGTGAGAGAATTCCCACTGTGTCTACCTGCTGACTCCCTAAACTGTGAAAAATAATATTTATTGCTGGTAAACACTAAAGTTTTGTAGCAATCTGTTACATAAGCAAATGCACTCATACATTAACAAAAACTACTAAGGGTCTAAGCTGCTTATCACAAATAATGGCTGATATTTGCTATGTTGAAGTTTCTCATTGTGTTTTTAATTTTAGAGCTCAACCTCATGAAAATTTATTTAGGAATTCTGTGTAGCCTGAGTTGAGAAAGTAGCATATCTACCAGGCCAACCCACAACCATTTTTTTTTGAGTAGTTAAAAACTTTGGTCATCTTTTTTCTATGTTATTTTTATTTTTTATTTGATTTTATTGTGAAGACGCTGTACAGAGGGCTTACACTTACATGAGTAAAGTAATCAGCACATTTTTGTCAATATGGTTACCCACGCCTTTGTTTTTCTCCCACTAAACTTTCCCTCCAGCACTTCTCTTCCCTCCCCCAAAATTGTAGAGTTCATTTCCAACATAATGACTTGTGAGTATCATTGTTGCAATGGGTCATCCTTTGTCCTTGTTTGAGCATTTTGTTATTCCCCTTCCTTTCCCCAAATCAGATCAATATATATACAAGATTCAGGATACCAGAATCAAAGACAGTGATTGCCAGGGATAAACCAATTGAAAAAGACCACTTTTTATGTCAGTTTCTTGACTTGAGGCTTCCTAGTTTTAAAAAAAAGTATAATTTCAAACTACAAACCAATGTGAATTCAGGTGCAATGCTACAAATTAACAAAGAGAATTTCTCTTTACGTCTGTTTAGACCAGGAAAGACACAGCTACTTTGGATATTTTATTATTAGATCCTTCGTTGGCCTTTTAAATCTCTAGGTTACATATTTGTATGGTGAAGGAATCTCAATTCCAGTTCTCTGCTTGCAGAGGTCCCAACACCAGATTTCCTGTTCTGCTTTGACATTAAAATCAAAACTCCGGGCCTGGGAAGTTGGCTCAGTGGTAGAGTGCTTGCCTCGCATGCATGAGGCCCTGGGTTCGATTCCTCAGCACCACATAAGCAGAAAAAGCCAGAAGTGGCACTTTGGCTCAAGTGGTAGGGCATAGCCTTGAGCTGAAGAGCACCCAGGCCCAGAGTTCAGGCCCCAGGATCCACATAAATAAATAAATAAAAATTAAACAACAAAAAACCCTATGGTTACCAAGATCAGCAATTTACTCCCCATGCAACTCCAACACAAGAATGAACAGTATCCTTTTTGACTATATACAGAAAAGAGATCCAGGCACTGGTGGCTCATGCTTGTAATCCTACCTACCCAGGAGGCTGAGATGTGAGGGTCATGGTTTGAAGCCAGACTGGACAGTATAGTCCATGAGACTCCTCTCCAACCACCAGAAAACCAGAAACGGTGCTGTACTTCAAATTGGTAGAGTGCTAACCTCCAGCGAAAGGACTTGGGAATAGCACCTAGACCTTGAGTTCAAGCCCTACTACCAACAAAAGAGTACCTGTCCCTATTTGATATTTCTAGTGTTGGGTGGGTCTCTCCAACCTCATACTTATCAATGTTGTTCTTTAAAATGGAAGTAAACTTAATTAGAAAATTAAGGCTGGGTACTGGTAACCCATGCCTATAATCCTAGCTACTCAGGAGACAGAGATCTGAGGCTCACGGTTTGAAGCCAGTACAGGCAGTGAAGTCCAAGAGACTTATATCTCCAATAAACTGCACAGAAAAAGCCAGAAGCAGCACTGTGGCTCAAGTGGTAGAACAATAGCCTTGAACAAAAAAAGCTCAAGGACAGTGCCCAGGCCCTGAGTTCAAGCCCCAGGACTGGCAGAAAAAAAAAGAAATATTAAAATGACAAAGCCCAATCAGAGAGTATACTTAAAAATCACAGAATATGGGAACAATGGAAAGTATTACGTTTTTCATTTTCCCCCAATCCCTTAGGTAGCATGTAATGAAAGTTAATAGCTTATTAATAGTCTTGGGCAATTCAATTCTTACTTTATCCAAGTCATAAGCTCCACTGTATCTGGGTCATAGAATTCCTGTAGTTCCGTCAATTCTGTCATTAATCTGGGAAAAAACTGAAATGCACAACAAAATACGCAAAGGGTATGTAGGTAAGTAACTGTAAAGTTTAAAACTGTTCAGGTGCTCTAAAAACTTACAAAAGACAAATGAAATTACAACCCTGTTCTCATTGACTTGAATGTCATGAGTCTCTATCCCTTCAGTGACCTACTCATTATTCTCAATTCAAATCATCTATCTTACAATAAAATTCACTGCCTAGAATCAGTAAATAATTTTATCACTAGCACCCAATTAAGCATTATATCTTCCACATACACATGTTAAATAAATTTCAGATCAGGTAAGTTTTAGGTTTATAGCAATTAGTTTCAGACTACATTATTGCAAGCCAAAAAATTTATATCATTAAGACTTATTAAAACTTTCGAGTAACCAAAATATTTTTAAATATTCAGATGTTTTTACACAGCCATTTCCTTTATCAATTATCAGTTGAATTAACAATGACATTCAACTACTGATGCATCAGATGGTACTCAAACTGTTTGGCACTGCCATCATGTTCTCTTTTTTTTTTAAATGAAGCATTGCTAAGAAAAACTTACTTGGTTAAAATAACGTTTTAATAACTTTCTCATCCTCATATGTAAATTTATCATTACATAATAGCTAGTGTTTTTCGGTAATATAAAAACTTGGTTTTCTTACCTCTTTCCATAAATTGAGACCAATTATAGTAGGTACAACCATGCTCAGAAAAAGAGCCTAAAGCATTAAAGAAAAAAACGAGGACAAGTTATTTTAGAGTATATTGTAGAGGACTGACTCTATGAGCAATTGAAGATCCTCATGGCATCTAGTTCATCAAATGAGGTGAGAGTTACGTGTTTCAAATATAATTCTTGTTACCGGGTTTCAACAGAGGTTCACTGGGCTGGGAAGGTGGCTCGGAGGTAGAGTGCTTGCCTTACATGCATGAGGCCCTGGGTTCAATTCCTCAGCACCACATAAGCAGAAAATGGCTGGAAGGGGTGCTATGACTCAAGTAGTAGAGCACTAGCCTTAAGCTGAAGAGCTGAGGGACAGCACCCAGGCCCAGAGTTCAGGCCCCAAGACTGACAAAAAAAAAAAAGCCTGTAATCCTAGCTACTCAGGAGGCTGAGATCTGAGGATCATGGTTCAAAGCCAGCCGGGGCAGGAAAGTTCGTGAAACTCTTATCTCCAATAAACCACCAGAAAACCGGAAGTGGCGCTGTAGCTCAAGTGGTAGAGCACTAGCCTTGAGCTGAAGAGCTGAGGAACAGTGCTCAGGCCCAGAGTTCAAGCCCCACTACTGACAAAATAATAATAATAATAATAATTCTGGAGGGCACTGGGCACTGGTGGCTCACACCTGTAATCTTAGCTACTCAGGAAGCTGAGATCTGAGGATCGAGGTTCAAAGCCAGCCTGGGCAGGAAACTCCATGAGACTCTTATCTCCAAATAACCACCAGAAAACCAGAAATGGTACTGTGGTTCAAGAGGTAGAGCACTTGCTTTGAGCTGAAGAGCTGAGGGACAGCGCTCAGGCCCCGAGTTCAAGCCCCACGACTGATAAAAATAAATAAATAATTCTGGAGGAATGACTCAAGTGCCCTGAGTTGAAAAATCCCTGTATTGACAAACTCATTCTCTCTCTCTTACACACTCTCTCTTTCTCAACATATGAAGCAGCAAATAGAGGGAAATTAACACATTTATTATACAAATACAAAGCTGAGGCTGGTAATGTGGCTCAGTGGTAGAGTGTTTGCCTTGCATGCATGAAGCCCTAGGTTCAATTCTTCAGTACCACATAAACAGAAAAATCTGGAAGTGGCACTGTTGCTCAAGTGGTAGAGTGCTTGCCTTGAGCACAGAGAGGCTAAAGGATAGAGCCCAGGCCCTGAGTCAAAGCCCTAGAACCAGCAAAAAATAAATAAATAAATACAAGGCTGCTATTAAAAAATTAAATAGTAGTTGGGCACCAGTGGCTTATGCCTGTAATCCTAGCTACTCAGGAGGCTGAGATATGAGGATTACAGTTTGAAACCAGCAGGAAAGTCTATGAGACTCTATGTCCAATTAACCACCAGAAAACTGGAAGTAGGGCTGTGGCTCAAAGTGGTAGAGCACTAAGCTTAAGCAAAAGAACTCAGGGACAGTGTCCAGGTCCTGAGTTCAAGCCCTATAACCAAAACAAACAAACAAACAAATATACGGATGCGTGGCTCAAGTGGTAGAAAGAACAAGTGTGGGATCTTGAGTTTAAGCCCCAGTATGGTCTAAAAAAACGGAAAAAATTAAAATTAATTTCTATCAACTTCATACTTATTTACATTTTTACCTTTATTTTTTTTTTTTTTGGTCAGTCGTGGGGCTTGAACTCTGGGCTTGAGCGTTTTCCCTGTGCTCTTCAGCTCAAGGACAGCGCTCTACCACTTGAATCACAGCACCACTTCCAGTTTTCGGTTTTTCTAGTGGTTTATTGGAGATAAGAGTCTCACGGACTTTCCTGCCCGGGCTGAGGCTGTTTTTGAACTGCGATCCTCAGATCTCAGCCTCCTGAGTAGCTAGGATTACAGATCTCAGCCTCCTGAGTAGCTAGGATTACAGGCGTGAGCCACCGGCACCTGGCTCATTTTTATTATTTTAATTAAATTAATTGACTTATTTATCTTGGCAGTGTTAGTGTTTTCAACCCAAGGCATCAGGCCTGATTTCACTGGTTATTTTTAGGACAGAGTCTTGGGACTGTGCCTAAGTATGACCAACATACTTTTAGGCTTCCTGTCAACAGTGGGAATACAGATACATGCCACCACATTCAGCTTCTCTTCCATGGAGATAGAGTCCTGCACACTTTTCTGATTGGTCTAATCTGGAATTTTCAGCCTCGTAAGTAGTTAGGAAGACAGTTATGAGCCACCACAATTGCTTACCTTTCATGTTTTTATTTGTATCAATTGAAATCCTTTAATTATAAATCCAAAATTATTTGTTTATAAAAGGAGCTCTTTTTCTATCTGTAAGTCATTATGTTTTTTCAGTCTATCTCAGTAGTATTCAGTGTAGTTCCTATTTATTTGCATTTTATATTATACTGAATAAACGCAAATAACAGCTCACCAACAATACTGGATGTATACTTCTTAACCGAAGCCACTTGAAAACTGTCATCCAAAGTTCAGGGGAACATACACCAAATGCTGCTAGCATACACACATAAGGAGTCCAAATATATTTTAAGCTGGAAAACAGAATAATCGTGTATCACATATCCCATGGCCCTCATGTTCCTGATTCCTCTCTACTGAATTAAACTCCCTAAAAAATACCAAAACGTAAAGGAAGAATGAAAAAAGCTTATTTAGCCTCAAATTTTCAGCAACAGATTGTTATCTAGTTATTAAATAATCAGTAAGACATAGGGGTTAAAAATTGAGGATAAGTTAAAACATTTATATTAAAAAAAAAAAAAAAAAAAAAAAAAAACATTTATATTGAAGAGGGTGTAACAAAACTGTCCTCAGCTTTTTCAGAAAACAATTTGGCAGAACATAAAAAACTTTTAAATCCTCTTAGATAGGAATACTATTTCTAGCAATCTGGGCTAACATATATAGCCCGGATTATATACATATACATATATACACATATATGTATGCATACATATACACATACATATATATACATGTGTACATTATAATTCCTAATATGTATTTAATTTCTATACACACAAATTGTTGTTGTTTTTTTTTTTGGGTCCGGTTGTGGGCCTGAACTCTGGGACTGGGCGCTGTCCCTCAGCTCTTCAGCTCAAGGCTAGCGCTCTTACCACTTGAGCCACAGCGCCACTTCTGGCTTTTTTCTTTTTGCTTATGTGGTGCTAAGGAATCGAACCCAGGGCCTCACGCATGCAAGGCAAGCGCTCTACCACTGAGTCACCTTCCCAGCCCACAACTTAAGGTTTTAAATGGAATATGTTTTTACTTTAGTTTTGTTTTTGTTTTGGGGATTCTTCTGTGCAAGTACTAGGGCTTCAACTCAAGGCCTGAGTTTGACCTCTTTTGCTTAAGACTAGCACTCTACCCTTTAAGTCACAGCTCTACTTCCATCCTTTTGGTGGTTAACTGAAGATAAAAGTCCCATGGACTTTCCTGTACACACTGGCTTCAAACAACAATCCTCAGACTTTAGCCTCCTGCATAGCTAGGATTATAGCCATGATCCACCAGTGCCCAGCCTGGACAGGTCTTAAATGTGCATGATCTTTCAGCATCAGCCTCTTAAGTACTGGCATTACAGGTGATCACCACCAAAAATTGCTAATTGGACTCTGAAGTTAAAAAAAAAAAAAAAAGAAAAATCTATGATAAGTGACATGCTAGTAGCTCACATCTGTAATCCTAGCTATTCAGATGGCTGAGATCTGGGGAATCAGGCTCACCCTGCTTAGACAAGAAAGTCGTATCTCAAATTAGCCATCAGAAAATCAGAAGTGGAGATGTGGCTCAAAATGATAGAAAGCTAGCCTTGAGCAAAAGATCTCAGGGATAGCCACCCAGGCCCTGAGTTCAAACCCCATGATGACCAAAAGAAAAAAAAGAAGAAAATATACTCATTACCTGATTTATGTGACTGTAACCTGCTGTATATCACCTTTATAATAACAATAAGAAATAAAAAAAAATTAAAAGTAGCACAAAAAGGAGCTAGAGGAATGGCTCAATAGTACAGTACCTACTCTATGAAGAGTGGGCCCTGCGGGCCACCAGTGGCTCACACCTGTAATCCTAGCTACTCAGGAGGCTAAGATCTGAGGATTGCAGTTCATAGCCAGCCCGGGCAGGAAAGGCTGTTGGATTCTTATCTCCAATAAACCACCAGAAAACCAGAAGTGGTGCTATGGCTCGAGTGGTAAAGTGCTAGCCTTGGGCCGAAGAGCTGAGGGACAGCGCCCAGCCCAGAGTTCAAGCCCCATGACTGACAAAACAAAAAAAAAAGTGAGCCCTGAGTTCAAAACTCCAGTACCACCAATAAAAGGGAAAATCTTTGCAAAAACAAACATCAAATAAAGTACACTTACCCTTCTATAACCATTGCAAGAGAACCCAATAAAATAGTGTGGATTACATGATAAATTATTTCTGGTCTTTCTCCAATTCGCCCATCTTCAAGAGTAACTGTTTCTTTGATAGACATGCCACTATAAAAAAGAAATGTATTTTTAAAGTTTAAAAACAACAGCCTTTTTGTTCAGCACCTTTGAGGGCCATCCCTGAAAATTTAAATTTTTTTGTTTTGTTTTTGTGCTGGCCCTGGAACTTGAAACTGGGCACTGTCCCTGAGCTTTCTGTACTCTATCACTTGAGTCAAACTCTACTTTGGGCTTTTTTGGTGGTTAATTGGAAATAAGAATATCACAGATTTGCTGCCCAAGTTGGCTTTCAACTGCAATCCTCAGATCTCAGCCTCTTAAGTAGCTAAGATTACAGGCATGAGCTGCCAGTACCTAGCTAACATTGTTCTTAAAAAAGTGAAATGGGCCGGGTGCCAGTGGCTCATGCCTGTAATCCTAGCTACTCAGGAGGCTGAGACCTGAGGATCGAGGTTCAAAGCCAGCCTGGGCAGGAAAGTCCGAGAAACTCTTATCTCCCATAAACCACCAGAAAACCGGAAGTGGCACTATCACTCAAGTGGGAGAGTGCTTGCCTTGAGCTGAAGAGCGCAGGGACAGCGCCCAGGCCCAGAGTTCAAGCCCCACGACCGACAAAAAAAAAAAAAAAGAAAGAAAAAAAGTGAAATGGTAAGCATATTAGTCTGTAAACGCTTATTATTTATTATTCTCATATCAAATCTGTTACTACATATTTACATGGACTAAAGCTTAACATTTTTTTTATTAAAATTTTTTAAATTATTTTTTATAGTGAACTTAAAATGATTAGTTAGGAAATAACAGAATTAGAAATTCTACAATATTGAAAGAAGATGAAGTGGCATATACCTGTAGTAGCAGTGGTCCCAGTTACTACGGAGACTGAAATACAAAAATCACTTAAACTACTCTGGGCAACACAACAAAATTAGCACATTCTTTCCTCTCTCTCTCCTTTTCTTTTCTTTTCTTTTTTTTCTAGCATCACCAGAGACTAAACCTAGGGCCTCATAAATGCTAGGCCAAAGTTTGTCTCCATTTATTTATTTATTTATTTATTTTGGGTCCGGTCGTGGGGCCTGAACCTCGGGGCCTGAGTGCTGTCCCTCAGCTCTTCAGCTCAAGGCTAGTGCTCTACCACTTGAGCCACAGCGCCACTTCCAGCTTTTTTTTTCCTGCTTATGTGGTGCTGAGGAATCGAAGCCAGGGCCTCAAGCATGCAAGGCAAGCGCTCTACCACTGAGCCACCTTCCCAGCCCCAGTTTGTCTCCTTTAAAAAAAAAAAAAAAGGAAATCTTAACTACTCAGAAAGCTGAATCTGAGGATGGCGGTTCAAAGCCAGCCCAGGCAGAATAGTCCATGAGACTCTTATCTCCAATTAACTACCAGAAAACTGGAAGTGGCGCTGTGGCTCAAGTGGTAGATCACTTGCCTTGAGCTGAAGAGCTCAGAGACAGTACCCAGGCCCAGAGTACAAGCCCCATGACCAAACCAAAAAAAAAAAAAAAAACAGAGATGAGTTTTGGCTCAGTGGTAAGCATATATATATATATATATATATATATATATATATATATATATTTTTTTTTTTTTGGTCGGCCGTGGGGGCATAAGCATATATTTAATAGCAAATATTTTATAGGTTATGTCTTTTTTATAATACCCCAGTAAAGTGGTGGATTTTCATAGGTACTTACTTAATCCTCCTAAAGAAAACTTGTATCATAGAAAGAAGACAAATAATTAACACTAAAATATAGAATGGTAATAGAGAAGAACGAGTCAGTCGTAAAAAGAAATCTTCAGATGGTGCCTGGAGAGATTCTTGACACAGAAGCCAATTCATTGTGAAATTTCTAGAGAAGATCAAAAAGGTCTGATTAAAATCACAGGTGTTTTAGACAGCTGAACATAGAGGATTCTGTTTTAATTGCAGAGCAGCAGTATGAACTCAGGCCTCTACACCTTTCACTTTTGTTGTCTTTCAGGTAGGTTTCCATATTTTAAGTCAATTTTGTGTGTGTGTGTGTGTCTTCTCTGGTATTCCTCTACGTGCTTCCTAGCAACCATGAGGTAAGGAAAAGCCTGTCTACCAAACACCCCAAAATGAGAGCCAAATGAAGATGGACTAAAACCTCTAAAATAGAGACAAATCTGGGCTGGGAAGGTGGCTCAGTGCTAATGCGCTTGCCTTGCATGCATGAGGCCCTGGGTTCGATTCCTCAGCATCACATAAGCAGAAAAAGGCCAGAAGTGGCACTGTGGCTCAAGTGGTAGAGTGCTAGCCTTGAGCTGAAGAGCTGAAGGACAGCCCCAGGCCCAGAGTTCAGGCCCCACGACCGGACCCCCCCACCCAAAAAAAAAAAGAGACGAATCCTTCTTCCTTTGTTTCCTCACTTATTTTATCACAAAACAAAGGTGACTAACACAAAGTAACATAATCATCTCTAAAGCCCAATATAGTTTGAAATTTTGAGTTGTTTTCTCTTCTTCCTCCTCCTTTTCTCTCTCTTTCCATTTCCTTTCTTTGTTATATGAGGTATCAAACCCAAGACCTCATGCATGTCAGGCAAGGGTTTATTTTATTTATTTATTTATTTAGTCTAGTCCTGGGGCTTGAACTCCTGAGGGCCTGAGAGCTATCCCTGAGCTTCTTTTGCTCAAGGCTAGCACTACTTCTGGCTTTTTCTATGTATATGGTACTGGGGAATGGAACCCAGGGCTTTGTGCATGCTAGGCAAGCACTATACCACTAAGCCACATTCCCAGCTCTCAGGCAAGGGTTAACTTGTGTTTTTAACTTAAAAAACAATTCAGCTGACCCACCTCTATCTATAGTGTCCAGTTATGGGAGCTATTGACTACAAGTGGATACTAAACATTTGGAAGTGAGAGCTAGTTTAATACACTTAGGATTTCAAAGAATTTTTCTTTTTCCATCAGTCATGGGCACAGGGCTTGAACTCAGAACCTGGACACTGTCCCTTGAGCTTCTTTTTCCCTCCCCTCAGGGCTAGTACTCTACCATTTTTTTTGGGGGGGGGGGGGGGTCCGGTCGTGGGGCCTGAACTCTGGGCTTGGGCGCTGTCCCTCAGCTCTTCAGCTCAAGGTTAGCACTCTACCACTTGAGCCACAGTGCCACTTCCGGCTTTTTTCTTTTTGCTTATGTGGTGCTGAGGAATCGAACCCAGGGCCTCATGCATGCAAGGCAAGCGCTCTACCACTGGGCCACCTTCCCAGCCCTTGCTCTACCATTTTGAGCCACAGCTCCACTTCTATTTTTTTGGTAGTTAATTTGAGATAAGAGTCTCACAGAATTTCTTTTTTTTTTTAAACTGGATTTTTTTTTTTTTTTGGGGGGGGGGGTCCGGTCATGGGGCCTGAATTCTGGGTGCTGTCCCTCAGCTCTTCATCTCAAGGCTAGCTTGAGCCACAGCGCCACTTCTGGCTTTTTTCCCTTTGCTTATGTGGTGCTGAGGAATCGAACCCAGGGCCTCAGGCATGCAAGGCAAGCGCTCTACCACTGAGCCACCTTCCCAGCCCACACAGAATTTCTTATCCAAGCTGGTTTTGAAATGCGATCCTCAGATTTCAGCCTCCTAACTAGCTAAGAATTTAGGCGTGAGCCACCAGTGCCCTGACAAAGAATTTTTTAAAAAGCAGAATATCTCATTATCTCAATTTCTATAGCATTAAATATTAAAATATTTTGGTATATTGGGATTAATTTAAAACTATTATTCAAATTAATTTCACTTGTTTCTTTTTTCTTTTATTTATTTGTGCTGATCCTAGAGCTAGAACTCAAGGCCTGGGTGCTGTCCCTGGGCTTTTTTTGCTCAAGGCTAGTGGTCTACCATTGAGCCCGAGTTCCACTTTTGGCTTTTTGGAGATAAAGAATCCCAGATTTTTTTTTTTAACTATTTTTTCAGAGTTTTTCAAACTCATTATCCTCCTATTTCTGCTTCTCAAGTGCTAAGATTACAATTGTGCATCATCATGCCTTGCTACTTACTTTTTTAAATGTAACTACTAGAAATTTACAGATATATATAAGGTTCACATTATACTGTTACTGATTAATTCTAATCTATATTAAACAAATATAATCTTTATAATGGTACTAGGGATTAAACTTAGGTACACAGTGCCTTAATGTACCCTGTATCTTAGTATACTATAAACGTCTTATTTACTATTATATATTACAACATGAAAGTCTATCCAAAGCATCTTCAATTCCATATCATTCCACAACAAATGAGAAAAAAATTCTAAGTATACTAGAATTGGAGAAATGCATTGCTAAGTATGGTGTTGTATTTCTTGAAACAAAACAAAAATCAACAAAAATAAAATATTTATTTACATAATATTTATATTAATTACATTAATATTGTGGCAATATGGAATGAAAACTCAAGACCTTGCAATTGGTAGGCAAGTGCTGTACCACTTGAGTAATGGCCTTAATCTTCAAGTACATGTTTTTTTTTTTGTCGGTCGTGGGTCTTGAACTCTGGGCCTGGGCACTGTTCCTGAGCTCTTCAGCTCCAGATGAGTGCTCTACCACTTGAGCCACAGCGCCACTTCCAGTTTTCTGGTGGTTAATTGGAGATAAAAGTCTCTTGGACTTTCTTACCCAGGCTGCCTTTGAACTGTGATCCTCAGATCTCAGCTTCCTGAGTACCTAGGGTTATAAGCATGATCTACTGGTACCCAGCAAGTACATTATTTTTTAATTTTAAAAAAGTTAGCTTCCAATCAAATTATTATGGTCCTAATAAATGTCTTACTGATGATTTTCTGTCTTTTCCTAATGTAAGTATATTGTTAACATAGTGGTTAAAATTAACTTGACTCTTTACTACTAAGTCCATTATCTGTACTATTATTTCTTTTACTTTGCTCTTATTTCCATTTTTTTGGGGGAGAGGAGTTGGGGATCAAACTTAAGGACTGAACAAGTCATATTACTGAGCTTACATTCCCAACCCTCAACTTAAATCTTTACTCTGACCTTAGATTTTTATCATTTTTCTTTACTAAGAAAGAAAATACTCTTAAAAATCCCACAATATGGGGTGAGAATGTTAAAAGGGGTGACACTGATAAAGATATATAGATATAGATATATACATCTATCTATCTATCTATCTATCTATCTATCTATCTATCTATCTATCTATCTATCTATCTATATATTTTTTTTTTTTTTTTGTTAGTCATGGGCTTCAACTCTGGGCCTGGTTGCTCGCTGTCCCTGAGCTCTTCAGCTCAACTCAAGCATTCTACCACTTGAGCCACAGAGCCACTTTGGTTTTCTGGTGGTTTATTGGAGATAAGAGTCTCACAGACTTTCTTGCCCAGGCTGGCTTTGAACCATGATCCTCAGATCTCAGCCTCCTGAGTAGCTAGGATTACAGTCATGAGCCACCAGTGCGTAGCTGATAAAGATATGTTGTATTCATAAACTTCTTTGTTAAATGGTAACTTCTTTATATAACTACTTAAAGATAATTTAAAAGAAATGTGAAGACTACAATGTGGCTTAGAGGCATGGCTCAATAGAAAAGCATGTTAAATCCTTGTACGATAGAACAAACAAAACAACCTACAATGGTATTAAGGCTTAATATATATAATTCTGAGATGACTTAAATGAGATACAATTTTAATTTATTAATTTTTGTGATATTGGGGATTAAATCTAGAGCTTTAAGCATACTAAACATATGTTTATTTTTTTGCAGTGCTAGGAATAGAACTCAGGATCCAACAATTATCAAAAAAAGTAACTAACTGAATTGTATGTCCAATATAAATATCATATTTTATCTATAATAATTTCTCAAACTAATCATTTTTTTCTTTTATTGTCAGTCATAGAGCTTAAACTCAGGGCCTGGGCATTGTCCCTGAGCTGTTTTGCTCAAGTCTAGTAGTACTCTACTACTTTGAGCCATAGCACCACTTCTGGTTTTCTGGTGGTTAAAAAGTCTCAGGTACAGCCAGGTGCCCGTGGCTCATTCCTGTAATCCTACTCAGCAAGCTGAGATCTGAGGATCATGGTTCAAAGCAGGCCCAGGCATGAAAGTCCATGAGACTTTTAAACCAGTAGAAAACCGGAAGTGGTGCTGTGGAGCAAGTGCTTGCCCTGAGCAAGCAGGGACCATACCCAAGTCCAGAATTCAAGCCTCTTGACCAACAACAACAACAACAACAACAAAAGTCTCAGGGACTTTAGGCTGGCTTTGCACTGGGATCCTCAGATCTCAGCCTCCTGAGTAGCAAGTATTACAGGAGTGAGCACGAGCACCTGGCAAACTAATCATTTTCTAAGTAATATGTAGTTAGTTATGTACTCCCTCGATGGTTTCCATTCTTTGTTTTCTAAGTGATATAGAGACCTAGTAAACTTACTTAGTCATATTTAATCCAAATTTTACTTCCAGAAATTTTAGCATGTGTCCATTTTCTTTGTGTGTAACAAACATCTAGAAGAGAAAAATAGAGGCACAGCGAACAGGTTGGTCTTGTAGAACAGAAAAACACTAGGTACATAAGAAAATTCTAGTTATGCTTATAGGACTATGCTTTTCCCAATGAGTATTGCTAGAAAGTATAGTAAGATTCAAAGAACAATGAACTAGTAATACATTCTATATACTATGAAGCAAGGAGATTTACTGATATAAATCAATCATATTACTGTATGTATCCACATAAAAACTATAATGTGACAGTAAGATTCTACCTTATTCTCCCTGGTTTAAGTAACAGTCACCCTTCAACACTTTTATTTGTCTTATTCCATGTTACAGTTATCAACTTTTTTTTATTTTTTTGATTAGATGTAGGGCTTGAACTCAGGGCCTAGGCATTGTCCCTGAGCTCTTTCACTCAAGGCTAGTGCTCTACCACTTTGAGCCACAGTGCCACTTCTGGTTTTCTGGTGGTTAAATGGAGAAGATTCTCACAGACTTTCCTGCCCAGGCTGGCTTTGAACTGTAATCCTTAGATCTCAGCCTCTTGAGTAGCTAGGATTATAGGTGTGAGCCACCAGCACCCAGCATAATAGTCAACATATCTCTTTAATAAATAGTGGCATGTCCAAGTTCATTAACCAAACATTCTTGGAGAGTAAGTGCTGATAGACCCCAATGTAATGATAGTGAGAGATTTGAACACCCAGTCTCACCAACAAATAGGTCATCCGAACAAAAGATCAGCAAATACCTCAGAATTAAATGATACTACGGATAAAATCAAATTTATAGACAGACATCTACAGAATGTCTCATGCTACTTTCTCCAGAACAGATCATAGCCTAGGACATATGGAAAAGCTGAACAAATACAATGAAAATAACCCCTGTATTCTATCTGTCAATAGTGGAATTAACCAAGAGCTGAACAGTACAAGAACTATATATAATATTCAAAGAAGGGGCTGGGAAGGTGGTTCAGTAGTAGAGCGCTTACCTCGCATGCATGAGGCCCTGGGTTCGATTCCTCAGCACCGCATAAGCAAACAGAAAAAAGCCAGAAGTGGTACTGTGGCTCAAGTGATAGAGTGCTAGCCTTGAGGTGAAGAGCTGAGGGACAGCACCCAGGCCCAGAGTTCAGGCCCCACGACCAACCCCCCCCCCAAAAAAAAAATATATATGTTCAAAGAAATGGAGACTTAACGTATTTGAACAACATGTATGTCACTGTAGAAATAAAAGAGGAAATCAGCCAGGCGCCAGTGGCTCACACCTGTAATCCTAACTACTCAAGAGAGGCTGAGATCTGAGGATCACAATTTGAAAACAGCTTAGGCAGGAAAGTCCCTGGGTATTAGCCACCAGAAAAACAGAAGTGGAGCTGTGGCTCAAAGTGGTAGAGCACTAGCCTTGAGCAAAAAGAACTCAGGGACCGTGAGCAGGCCTGAGTTCAAGCTCTACAACTGACAAAGGAGAGAGAGAGAGAGAGGGAGGGAGGGAGGGAGAGAGGGAGGGAAAGAAGGAAAGAAGGAAGGAAGGAAGGAAGGAAGGAAGGAAGGAAGGAAGGAAGGAAGGAAGGAAGGAAGGAAGGAAAGAGAGAGAAAGAGAGAGAGAAAGAGAAGGAAGGAAGGAAGGAAGGAAGGAAGGAAGGAAGGAAGGAAGGAAGGAAGGAAGGAAGAAGAAATTACCTATTTTCTAAAAACAAAGGAAAATAAGAGTACATCCTCTCAGAACCTCTGGGATATAAAGCAGTGTTAAGCCCGAGTTCAAGTCCAGTAATGGCATGTACACACACACACACACACACACACACACACACACACACACACACACACACACACACACACACACACACACACACACACACACAAACACATACAAATTAAGCTCTAATTTGATCCCCCTAAAAAGCAGACACTCAAATTAACAAAATTAGAAATGAAAAAGGAAACATCACAGCAAATAACAAAAATATTCAAAAGATATAAAGTTATATTCAAGTAAGCTGAAAAATCTTGAACAAACAGATACTTTGAGTCGGCATGTGAGCTAGCAAGGCTAAACCAATAAGATATAAGCCACTTAAGCAGACCCACAGGAAGCAAAGAAATTGAAACAATAGTCTCCTCACAACACATAAAAGCCCAGAGGCAGATGAATTATAGCCAAATTCTACCAGACCTTCAAAAAAAGAATATGCAAGTATTCCTCAAAATCTTCCATGAAATAGAAAAAGAAACTCATTCCTTTTTTTTTTTTTTTTTTGGTCAGCCCTGAGTCCTGTCCCTCAGCTCTTCAACTCAAGATGAGCGCTCTACCACTTAAACCACAGTGCCACTTCTGGTTTTCTGGTGGTTAACTGGAGATAAGAGTCTCAACGGAATTTCCTGCCCAGGCTGGCTTTGAACCTTGATCCTCAGATCTCAGCCTCCTGAATAGCTAGGATTACAGGTGTGAGACACTGGCACCGGCAGTAACTCATTCTTATGAAGCAAGTATTATACCACACAGAGATGAGGTTAAAAAAAAAATTAGACCAATCTCACTGATGAACACTGATGCAAAACTTCTCAATAAAATCCTTGCAAATAGAATATAATAACACATCAAAAATCACACACCATAGCTGGGCACAGGTGGCTCACGCCTGTAATCCTGCTCAGGAGGCTGAGATCTGAGGATCATGCAGTTCAAAGCCAGCCTGGGCAGGAAAGTCCGTGAGATTCTTATCTCCAATAAACTACCAGAAAACTGGAAGTGGCGCTGTAGCTCAAGTGGTAGAGTGCTAGTCTTGAGTTGAAGAGCTGAGGGACAGCGCTCAGGCCCAAGTTCAAGCCCCACGACCAACAACAACAAAAAACATACACCATGACAAAGTTAGCTTTATCCCAAGCTCTGCAAGGATGGATCAACGTAAACAATTGCTAAATTTTAATGCATCACATAAACCTGACCAAGAATAAAGTTCATGTAATCACCTTGGTTAATGAAGAGAAAAGCCTTTGATAAATTCACTATCTTTTTATAATAAAAGTTCACAAGGAATACAAGGAACATATGAGAATTTAATAAAAACTATATATAGAAAACCTATAGCTAATATCACATTAAATTGGGGACAAACTATTTCTCCTAAAGTCTGGAATGATACAAAAATATCCATTCTCTCCACTCTTATTCAATATTGTAGTAGAATTCCTAAACAGAACAATTAAACAAGAAACAAAAGAGATTCAAATATGGACAGAAAAAAGGGTTAAATTTTCCTAATTTGCTAATGACATGAGTCTTTACTTAATAGATTCTAGACTCCATCAAAAAAACTTCTAGAATTGGGCTGGGAAAGTAGCTCAGTGGTAGAGAGCTTGCCTTGCATGCATGAGGCCCTGGGTTTGATTCTTCAGCATCACATAAGCAGAAAAAGCCAGAAGTGGCACTGTGGCTCAAGTGGTAGAGCACTAGCCATGAGCTGAAGAGCTGAGGGACAGCACCCAGGCCCAGAGTTCAAGCCCCACAATTGGAAAAAACAAAACAAAACAAAAAAAAAAACTTCTAGAATTGATAAATACCTTTGGAACAGTAAGGTATGAAATCAATACCCCAAAGTATTAGTAGCTTTTCTATATATCAACAATAAACAGGCTAAAAAATCAGGAAAACAGCCGGGCGCTGGTGGCTCACGCCTGTAATCCTAGCTACTCAGGAGGCTGAGATCTGAGGATCGCGGTTCAAAGCCAGCCCGGGCAGGAGAGACCGTGAGACTCCTATCTCCAATAAACCACCACAAAACCGGAAGTGGCGCTGTAGCTCAAGTGGTAGAGGGCTCGCCTTGAGCTGAAGAGCTGAGGGACAGCACCCAGGCCCAGAGTTCAAGCCCCACGACCGACCAAAAAAAAAAAAAAAATCAGGAAAACAATTGCATTTACAATAGCTTCCAAACCAATAAAAAATACCTAACACTTAGGTTATATGTAGGTGTTAACCTAACCAAGGAAGTAAAATACCTCTATCAAAACCTTGATGAAAGAAATTGAAGACATCAAAAGATGGAAAGATATCTATGGTAATAGTTTGGCATAATTAATACTGTAAAACTGGTCAAATACCAAAAGCAATGTACAAATTCATCACATAAAATCCATTATGATTCTTCACAGAACCACAAATATCGATACAGAAGTTTATATGGAATCAAAGAGACCCTGAATACCAAAGCAATCTAAGTATAGTCACACAATGGAATCATTCATCTAATGTTGGGTACTCCCACTGAGTAATCAATCAATAAACATACATATATATACACACAGAAATATTACATAGCCATAAAAAACAAAATTATGGCTGGGCACTGATGGCTCATGCCTATAATCCTAGCTATTCAGGAGGCTGCTTGGGCAGGAAAATCCATGAGACTCTTATCTCCAATAAACTAGTCAAAAAACTACTCAAAAAGTAGCACTGTAGCTCAAATGGTAGAACACTAACCTTGAGCAAAAGAAGCTCAAGGACAGAGCCGAGGCCCAGAGTTTAAACTCCAGGACCAGCAAAAAATAAGATAAAATAATGTTATCTATAGAAAAATAGATGCAATTGAAAGTTATAATATTCAATAAGTTCAGAAAAAATATATATATAAAGAAGCTGGTGGCTGGTAGCTCACGCCTGTAATCCTAGCTACTCAGGAGGCTGAGATCTGAGGATCGTGGTTCAAAGCCAGCCTGGGCAGGAAAGTCCGTAAGACTCTCCAATAAACCACCAGAAAACTGGAAATGGTGCTGTGGCTCAAGTGGTAGAGCGCTAGCCTTGAGCTGAAGAGCTAAGGGTCAGCACTCAGTCCCAGAGTTCAAGGCCTGCGGCCGACAAAAAAAAAGAAAGAAGGAAAGAAGGAAGGAAGGAAGGAGAGAGAGAGAGAGAGAGAGAGAGAGAGAGAGAGAGAGAGAGAGAGAGAGAGAGAGAGAGAAGAAAGAAAGAAAGAAAGAAAGAAAGAAAGAAAGAAAGAAAGAAAGAAAGAAAGAAAGAAAGAAAAAGGAAAAGAAAAAGAAAAATGCCAGGTGCAGATGGTTCATGCCTGTAATCCTAGGTACTCAGGAGGCTGAGATCTGATTATCACAGTATGAGCCCAGCCTGGGCACAAAAAAAGGCCATGAGACTCTTCAATCAACCACCAAAAAGATGGAAATGGACCTGTGTGGCTCAAGTGTAGAGTACTAGCCTTGAGCAAAAGAGCTCAAGAACAATGCCCAGGTCCTGAGTTCAAGCCCTAAGACTAGCACAAAAATAAATAAGTAAAACAAATCAAAAAAGAAAAAGAAAAACACAATACATGCAACTTAGACTAAAATACATATGTATTCATAAACATATTCTTATCTAATTATATATGCATATTTAACGTGTATACACATATCCACACATTAATCAGGATCCATAACATGCAATTGCTTGCATGGGTTAAGCCGTGAACATGAATTATCTTAAGTGATTACTCGGGAGGAGGAGAAGGAGAGGGGAGACAGGGGTTGGGAATGTGGCTTAGTGGTAGAGTGCTTGTCTAACGTGCATGAAGCCCTGGATTTGATTCCTCAGTACCACATAAGCAGAAAAAGCTGGAAGTGGCTCAGTGGCTCAAGTGGTAGAGTGCTAGCCTTTAGCAAAAGAAGCTCAGAGACAGTGCCCAGGCCCTGAGTGAGGTCCCAGGACTAGAAAAATAAACAAACAAACAAACAAATAAATAAATAAAAGTGCTCTAAAAACGAGAAAGAAAAAGAAAGAGGGTGAGTAACTATAATACACAGTAAGTATATATGAAGGCAGTATAATGAAACTTAATGAAGTCTGTTGATCAACAAGGGTATGGAGTGGAAGGAAAATAGATGTGAGTGGTGGGACTAGCAGGAAGAAATTGTGCTGGTGGGGAAGATAAAGGCGGTTGAATATTATAAAACCAGGAACCTTTTGGAGATGCTATTTGGGGGGGAGCGGAGTGAGATTTGGATGGAGAGATGGATTATAACACTGTGTAAACCTGTATAGAAATGTAACAATGAAATAAATTATACTATATAGACTTTATTACTTTACTATCTCATTATTCTCATTAATATTTAGCCTAACATATGAAATATATTATATGCTCTACTACATGTGCTCTACTATCTGAATCTCAGAGTTACTTACCTTCATTATAACATTCAGTGTCACTGTCAGAGTACACACTAGGTAAAAATTAATCACTTTCATCATTTTTGCTACACAAGTTCCCTTCTTTACATTCAGCTGTGGGGAAAAAAAAATCATATGAACAAAGAAGATATAAAAAACTTTACAATTTAACAGTAAGTAACAAGAATGAAAAAATGCAGAGTTATTACCTGAAGGCACTTAGTAAGCATTAAGGCTGCTACTAAACTTAATAAAGGAGAAACAAGTAAAGCAGGATTCTCAAACTGTAGTAAATATCCCAGAAAGAGAGAAAATATATAGATTTTATATACTTCATGAACCTGTTGGGACAAAAATAAAATGAATAATAATAAAATGTATTTTATTACACATCTCTTCATTAATTTGGTTTAAGATTTATCTTACTGAGGCTGGGAAGGTGGCTCAGCGGTAGAGTGCTTGCCTTGCATGCATGAGGCCCTGGGTTCAATTCCTCAGCACCACATAAGCAAAAAGAAAAAAGCTGGAAGTGGCGCTGTGGCTCAAGTGGTAGAGCGTTAGCCTTGAGCTGAAGAGCTGAGGGACAATGCCCAGGCCCAGAGTTCAGGCCCCACAACTGGACCCAAAAAAAAAAAAAAAAAGATTTATCTTACTATAATTATAGCAGAAATGCTTTACTGTAATTTGGACACAGTTACAAAATTTCCAATCTTTTTTATTCCCTGATCCTGGTTTGAACTCAGCTTGGGCTCTGTCCCTGAGCTTCTTTGGCTCAAGGATCATGCTCTACCAGTTGGGCCACTACATCCCTTCTGGCTTTTTCTGAGTCTCAGGGACTTTCCTATTTGGCCTGGCTTCTAACTGCAATCCTCAAATCTCAATCTCCTGAGTAGCAAGGATTACAGGTGTGAGCCACCAGCATATGGTCCAATCCATATTTTTAATGTTACGGTTTATAATGAATTTATTATTTATTTCTTAGAACTCTCTCAAACTAAAGAGCTTTAAAACTATGAGTGTTGAAATCAACTAGAAGAACCACCTTTAATGCTACTCTCTGACTTAATGTCACTTGGCTTTCCCTCTAAATAAGTCATCTATGCTACCTCAAGTTGTGTAAGTTAAAATTATAACCTTAAAAAGTACTCAAAACTTATATAGCTGGGCACCAATGGCTCATGCCTGTAATCCTAGCTACTCAGGAGGCTGAGATCTGAGGATCGCGTTCAAAGCCAGCCGGGCAGGAAAGTCTGTGAGACTGTTATCTCCAATAAACCACTAGAAAACCAGAAGGAGCACTGTAGCTCAAGCAGAACGCTTGAGTTAAAGAGTTCAAGGACAAGCCGGGCGCTGGTGGCTCACACCTGTAATCCTAGCTACTCAGGAGGCTGAGATCTGAGGATCGCGGTTCAAAGCCAGCCCGGGCAGGAGAGACCGTGAGACTCCTATCTCCAATAAACCACCACAAAACCGGAAGTGGCCCTGTAGCTCAAGTGGTAGAGCACTCGCCTTGAGCTGAAGAGCTGAGGGACAGCGCCCAGGCCCAGAGTTCAAACCCCACGACCGACAAAAAAAAAAAAAAAGAGTTCAAGGACAGTGCCCAAGCCCAGAGTTCAAGCCCCACGACCGACACCCCCCCCCAAAAAAAACTTATATAGTAAAAAGTTTACTGCCATAAAATATACCATCAGAGAAAAGTATTTTTGCTTTTTGCTTCCATAACAGTGAGCACAGAAAATTAGATTTGCCAGGCACTGATGGCTCACACCTGTAATCCTAATGGAAGCTAAGATGTAAGGATTGCGGTTTGAAACCAGCCTGGGCAAGAAAGTCTATGAAACTCTTATCTACAATTAATGACAAAAAACTGGAAGTAGAGCTATGGCTCAAGTATAAAGCACTAGCTTTGAGCAAAAACACCCAAGGACAGCACCTACACCCTAAGGTCAAGCCCAAGTACCAGCATTAATAAAAAAAAGATTCTCAAGAAAAAGGCAAAAAAAGTGAAAAGGAAGTTGATACAATCACAATGAAAACTGTTGTTTTGTATAATTCCAATTAAAAAAGAAAGTTAAACACAATGTTCTACTGTAAGACCTTGCAGGAGGTTATATCTTAGTGGTGTTTTTTTTCTAAAACTGAGTACTTTAATGTATTATAAAGTTAATCGATTTTAAAAAGGCAAAATTAAGACAAAAGAGCATTAGATAGGAAAAAATAAAGACAGAGTGTTAATTTTTTAATCGCTTTAATAACCTCTGAACATATAAAATAATCTTTATCAAAATGAACTCCAAGAAATGGAAAAAAAAAGTTTTATTTTCTAAAAAAAAAAAAAAAAAAAAAGAAGGACTAGGAAGGTAACTTAGTGGTAGAGTGCTTGCCTTGCATGCATGAGGCCCTGGGTTTGATTCCTCAGCACCACAAAAGCAGAAAAAGCCAGAAGTGGTGCTATGGCTCGAGTAGTAAAGTGCTAGCCTTGAGCTGAAGAGCTGAGGGACAGCCCTCAGGCCCAGAATTCAGGCCCCACAACCAAAAAAAAAAAAAAAAAAAATTACATGAGCACTGTGGCTCATGCCTATAATCCTAGCTACTCAAGAGGCTGAGATCTAAGGATCATGGTTCAAAGCCAGCCTGGGCTTGAGAAAGTCTGTGAGACTCTTATCTCCAATAAACCACTAGAAAACCAGAAGTGGTGCTGTGTGACTCAAGTGGTAGAGCACTAGCCTTGATCTGAAGAGCTCAGGGACAGTCTATTAAAAATAAAAGTCTATTAAAATAAAAAAGTCTATTAAAAATAAAAGCCAGGATGGTAGGTATCTATCGGTGGTGTCAAGGTGTAGACTGAAGTAATAAAATAATAACTGACAGTACTGGAGTCTTTAAAGTGTTGGTAATGTTCTATTCTTGATTAAACACTGGTTCTATAGAGATGTATGCCAGTTTTTGAGCTTGAAACACAATGATCTATAAACTCATGCTTTTACTTCTTCTACTTTCTACCCTGTAATATTCTAGGGTTAGGACTTGGCAGTTGGTATTTTGACTTTTTCACTTGATGCTATAGGAAGTGTGTAAGGCTAGAAGGAGAAGGACCTTGTGACTTCCTCTTAGTTATGTCCTTTCAGCTCCATGTGTGGGGCCCTCCTCTAAGTTTTGAAGCTTTAATAATTCCATATTTTTCACAATGCTCCCTTGGCACTATTCTGTAGTTGCCACCTTCAGGTCCATATTACAACTACCCTTTCAAATAATCCATTAATAAGTTAATGACTTTATACTTGATTAATAAATTTTTTTGCATGGACATTATGGCCTTAAGGTGGTGAGGATTAAACCTGGGCTCTTGAGCATACTGAGTATCTACAACTGCATTACTCACCCTGTGCTTAGTTGTTGTTTTTTTTTCTGGATATTAAACCCAGGACATTGCACACTCTTTTTTTTTTTTTTTTTTTTTTGGGGGGGGTCCGATAGTGGGGTCTGAATGCTGGGCCTGGGTGCTGTCCCTCAGCTCTTCAGCTCAAGGCTAGCGTGCTACCACGTGAGCCATAGCACCACTTTCGTTTTTTTTTTTTTTCTGCTACGTGGTGCTGAGGAATCGAACTTAGGGCCTCATGCATGCAAGGCAAGCACTCTGCCACTGAGCAACTTTGTCAGCCCAACATTGCACACTCTTGCAAGCATACTATCACTAAGGTATATTATGTTAAGTACTTTATGTTAAGCTCTTTTTTTTTTTTTTTTTTTTTTTTGTCGGTTGTGGGGCTTGAACTCTGGGCTTGGGCACTGTTCCTGAGCTCTTCAGCTCAAGGGAAGCACTCTACCGCTGGAGCCACAGCGCCACTTCCGCTTTTCTAGTGGTTTATTGGAGATAAGAATCTCACGGACTTTCCTGCCCTGCCCGGGCTGGCTTTGAACCTCAATCCTCAGATCTCAGCCTCCTGAGTAGCTAGGATTACAGGTGTGAGCCACGGGGCACCCAGCATATGTTAAACTCTTTCTGTTCTTAAATATTAAATGTTCTTAAGTGTTTCTTAAATGTTGGTATTAGGGTTCTGAACCAGCTAAATACAAATGATTAAAAAAATAGTAGATTAAGATCGAACATTGTAAAAATGGTATTTATTCTCAGGATTTAATTCATTACTTTAAAGCAGCACAATACCTTGTCACTTTGTTCCACTGAAATTATATCCAGAAGAAACAGAGATATTGCTTGAAGAAACAAGAGATAGTGACTATATTCCCACATCATCATAAAGGTATAAGTCGAAGCACTCATCAACAAGTAGCAAAACCTCTACAGAAAAAAAAGCAAACTATAAATATCAATGGCTTTCTTTTATTTTTAAAATTATTATTAAAATCTTAAGATTTTTAAATTTTATTCTGAGAATAAGAATTAAGTTTCTATTTCAGTTTGAACACTATTCAATTCTTCAAGACCACATAAACAGAAAAAGCTGGAAGTGGTGCTGTAGCTCAAGGGATGGAGTGCTAGCCTTGAGCAAAAGAAGCTCAAGGACAGTGCCTAGACACTGAGTTCAAGCCCCAGGACCAGCCAAAAAGATAAATAAAAAAATAAAAAACAAAAACCTGCAGCTGTTTTCCTCTGCTAAATATTAAAAAGAGCTCATTGTTCTTGCCTGAAATATACCTGGCTAAAATCAGTTCTGTCCTTCCAAGGTCATCTCCCAAATAACCCTTTAGTGAGTGAGTAGTCAAGTCTCTGACAAGTTCATTGTCACAAAATGTATTTCCAGAAAATCTCTCCTTCTATGGGTTTACTTTTTTATTCCCATTCTCCCCACTGTGTGTAATGAGTATCCAGTGATCTTGTTCTGATAATAGTCAAAGAGAAGGATAATAAAGGTCAGGTCAAAGCTGGGCACTGGTGGCTCATGCCTATAATCCTAGCTACTAAAGAGGCTGAGATCTGAGAATCATGGTCCCAAGCCAACCCAGGCAGGAAAGTCCATGAGACTCTTATCTCCAATTAATCACCAGAAAACCTGAAGTGGTGTTATAGCTTAAAGTAGTAGAGCACTAGCCTTGAGCAAAAGAGCTCATACACAGCACCCAGGCCCTGAGTTTAAGCCCCACAAATGATCAAAAAATAAAATAAAATAAAGGTCAAGAAAACTAAGAATTTTGTTCTGTAAAACTAAATCTTTTAATATGGAAAAAAAGGACTTTTTAATTTGTTTTTTTTGTTGTTGTTGACTCTGTATTCTTTACCTTATACAGTATAATCACATGCACATTTGAGGGTGGGTGGGAGAGGGCACAGGATCAGAGGAAAGACGGTGAAAAGTGCAGCAGTGGAAATCACTGGCTGCACTGGACAATGATGAAAGTGAACTATGCAACTCATGGGTGAAGATGGGAGGGAGGGAATGGGAGAGAATGAGGGAAAAGCTGACACTATGCGAAAGGAAATGTACTTAATTCTGGATGTATGTAAAGATAACCCCACTGTATATCACCTCTAAAATAATAAATTGGGGAGGAAAAAAACAACTAAATCTTTCATACTTAGCTGCGTATATTCAATGATAAAATTCAGTGAGAAATGCTTCAGTCATCAGCAGATAAAAGAATTTTCCAGTATCCTGAATCAGTTGGTCAAATAATACCAACCACAAAGCTTAGAAGGGCTCCACATTGATAAAATATAGAAACTCCAGCTTCTCCTATCACCATAGCTATATATAAAGTTTTCTGGAAGCCTTCAAATGTAGAACAATCATAACTATTATATGCATGCCTGAGATCAGCAAATCCAGAGAATCCGGTTCCAGAAATTAACGAAGGCTCAAATCCAAATCCAGCCCAATTAACCTACATAACATTCCAAGATCACTTTGGGGAGTCCCTGGGGATAGGGTTGGGGAAATAGTACAATTTGCTCAAAGTGTTAACTCCAAGAGCTTATTCTCAAACTAAAGGTATGGTAAAAATAAGTCTTAGCTAGGTGCTGGTGGCTCATGCTTATAATCCTAGCCACTCTGGAGACTTAGATCTGAGAACTGAAGTTCAAGCTGGCCCAGGCAGGTAAATCCACAAGACTCTTATCTCCAATTAACCAGGAAAAAGCTGGAAGTAGAGGTCAAGTAGTGATACAGTGCCAGCACTAAGAGAAAAAGTTAAAGGAAAGCATGAGACAGAGTTCCAGCACCAGCACCAATGCAAATACATACAAAAAGCTTGAAGACAGAAATATACATCAAACAAACAAAAAACAACAAAAAACAACTAAAGACACAAGAGGACAAAAAGACCTACCATGCTCATGGACTAGCAGAATCAATATTGTAAATACAGCCACACTGCAGAAACGAATCTACAGATTCAATGCAATATTCATCAAAATCCCACTGTCATTCCTCACAGACAGAAAAATCAACCTGAAAATTCACAAATGGGAACATAAAAGCTCCAAATAGCAAAAGCACATCTGAGTAAAAAGAGCAACACAGAAAGTCTCAGAGAGCCTTCAAATTATACTACAGAACCATAAAAGCAGCTTTATACTAGCACAAAAACAGACCCAAAGACCGATGGAACAGAAAAGAAGCCTCTAGAATAAAACCACACAGCTACAGTCATCTACTTTTCAACAAAAGAGCCAAAACATCACCAGATATTGCCTCAATAACAAATAGTGCTCGGAAAACTGGTTACCTACTTTCAGGAGACTGAAACTTGACCTTTCTCATTCTATTAAAAAAAAGAAAAATCGGGGCTGGGAAGGTGGCTCAATGGTAGAGCGCTTGCCTTGCATGCATGAGGCCCTGGGTTCGATTCCTTAGCACCACATAAGCATAAAGAAAAAAGCCAGAAGTGGCGCTGTGGCTCAAGTGGTAGAGTGCTAGCCTTGAGCTGAAGAGCTGAGGGACAGCGTCCAGGCCCAGAGTTCAGGCCCCAGGAATTCAGGCCCCATGACCGGACCCAAAAAAAAAAAAAAACAAACAAACAAAAAAAAAGAAAAATAACTCTAGTTGGATCAAAGAACTCAAAGTAAGATCTGAAACTTTAAATCTACCATGGGAAAATATAGGCGAAACTCTTAGAAGTTATAGACATGGGTAATTATATTCTGAATAGGATTCCAATTACCTTATCAAAGCAAGAGCAAGAATTGACAAATAAGACTCTTGAGACTATATCCAATTTGAAAGTATGAAAAACATATATACATGGGCTGGGAAGGTGGCTCAGTGGTAGAGCGCTTGCCTTGCATGCATGAGGCCCTGGGTTCGATTCCTCAGCACCACATAAGCAAAAAAGAAAAAAGCCGGAAGTGGTGCTGTGGCTCAAGTGGTAGAGCATTAACCTTAAGCTGAAGAGCTGAGGGACAGCGCTCAGGCCCACGACCGGACCAAAAAAAAATACAAAAAATACAAAAAAAAACAAAAGAAAAACATATATATACATTTTTTTTTGTTTGGGGTAGGGGTCAGTGGAAGGGCTTGAACTCTAGGTCTGGGCACTGTACTCTTCAGCTCCAGGCGAGCACTCTATCACTTGAGCCACAGCACCCACTTCCAGTGTTCTAGTGGTTAACTGGAGATACCAGTCTCACAGACTTTCCTACCCAGGTTGGCTTTGAACCACAATCCTCAGATCTAAGCCTCCAAAGAAGCTAGGATTATAGGCATGAGCCCCCAGCACCTGGCCAATTTAGAAGTTTCTGCACAGCAAAATCACTGCCTATTCAACAGATAAAGGATTAATATCCAGAATATACAGAGAGCTAAAAAATTGAACAGCATAAAAACAAATAACACAAATAATAGGTAATAAAATTAAACATATTTCTCAGGAAAGGAAATATAAATTGCTAATAGATACATGTTCAACATCCTTAGTCATAAAAAATGCAAATCAAAAGTACACTAAGATTCTATCTCATTCCAGTCAAAATGGCAATTATCAAGAAAACAACATGTGCTGGTAAGGTAGTGGGGAAAAGGGTACTTTTAGAACTATTGGTGGGTATGTAAACTTGTGTAAAACCACTATAGCAATCAGAATGGAGGTCTCTCAAAAACTAAAAATAGGCCTATCTTCAACCATCAATATTGAGCATCTATCAGAAGAAGTAAATTTCTATGTAAGAAAGACACTTGGAGAGAGTTGGGGGTCCCAACAGACAGATCAACTAAGAGAAAAACAACAAAAAAAATAGAACAGGGGCTGGGAAAGTGGCTCAGTGGTAAGAGTGCTTGCCTTGCATGCATGAGACCCTGGGTTCGATTCCTCAGCACCACATAAGCCGAAAGAGCCTGAAGTGGCACTGTGGCTCAAGTGGTAGAGCGCTAGCCTTGAGCTGAAGAGCTGAGGGACAGTACCCAGGCCCAGAGTTCAGGCCCCACGGCTGACCAAAAAAAAAAAAAAAGAAAAAAGAAAAGAAAAGAAAGCTCATAAATTGCACATACAAAGATGGAAAACCACTAAGATCCCTCCCCACCCCTCGCCCAAAGTGGCCCGTGGCTGCCGGGACGTCGGGACCACCAGCGCACTGCAGAACCCAGACCCAGAAAACACGCCCAGTGCGGGAGCTGGACAGCGCAGAGACAGACCGGAGGCACGGCACCGCGACACCTGCTCCGGAGAGCTCCCTCAGCACCGCTGGACGGCCCTCAACCAGACCCAGGAGCCGCGAGTACCCCACTGGGGGCCGCCGCCCTCGGGAGACCGGCGCTGACGGTGCCTCCCGGAGCTGGACCTGCCCAAGAAGGAACCCCACACTGCAAGGGGCCACAGGGGCCAGAGCCCTTCCCCATCGCGCACACCCTGCCTGCCGGCTTCCGCTGGAAGACCACAGGGACTGTGTCTCACACAGCACTGGCACACACAGGCCAGCGGCTGGCGGGGCTCTCCTGCCGGGAACAGTGGTGTGTGCACGCATGCAGCTGCCAGTGCGAGGACTGTTGCTCGGCCGCGGGGATCCGCCAAGCAAGTGCGTCTGCGTGTCAGCCGTCAGGAAGCAAAATTCGTGGCAACGTGCTTTCCACAAACAGAATACCCCTACTGGGAGGCGCTGCTCCCTGGATGGAGCTGCTGAAACCCCCACCCCGTCTAGAATTACGAACTGTGTGTGTGTGCCGACAGTAGGCAGAGCGCGCGTACACACACACACCTAAAGCCAGGCGGTCCAAGTGTGGACCGAGCACCAGCCACTCGGGGGGGAGAGAAATAATCCCGGGCCAATGAACAAAAAAAACCAGTGCACCCTTCCCCTTCTGAAGCCAATGCCTACCCGGGAAACCTGCTCAGTCCCTGCTGCAGAACAGAGTCCCTTTCAGGCAGTCTGGGGCTGGGTGCACGCCAGCCTGGGGATTCAGTGTGGTTGGTGCCCCAGTGTGAAGGAACCCAGAGCCGAGCAAAGGCTACCACTTGCCCACCAAGAAGCAGAGCTTGGACACGGCCTTGACAAACCCTGAGCCCAAAGGCGTAAATCACAATGAAAGATTATAAGATTTCAACAGCCAAGACAGCATACCATTTCCAAAAGCCTGCAGCAATCCAGTAAAGAACTCCAGGGAGAACGAAGAAGAAATGGAGGACAAATGAACAATTAAAGATAAGATGACAGAATTGGTCAAAGAAATACACAGAGACAAAATTTCAAAAAAGTTCCAGGAATTCAAAAAAGAAATGCAGACAAAAATGGACACAGCAGACTAGGAATATGGCTTAGTGGTAGAGTGCATGAAGCCCTGGGTTTGATTCCTCAGTATCATATAAACAGAAAATGCCCGAATTGTGCTATGGCTCAAGTGGTACAGTGCTAGCTTTGAGCAAAAGCAGCTCAGGACAGTGCCAAGGGCCTTGAGGTCAAGCCCCAGGACTGGCCAAGAAAAAAAAAAAAGGACACAGTATATATCTCATTAAAAGATGAAATTTACACTTTGAGAACAGATATAGGAATTATAAATGGTTCAATTTCCACATGCAAACCACAATGGAAGCCATAGGTAACAGAATAAATGAGATGGAAAATAGAATATCAAGAAGTTGAAGATAAAAGAGGAGCTGGAGAAGAAAGTCACAGATATGGAAAAAAAAAACACTCAGAAATTACCAAAGGGAAGTCTATGAACTGGCAGACTAAGCCAAGAAATCTAATCTTCATATAATTGGGATTGTTGAGAGGGAGGAATATAAGAATAGAAGGATGCAACATTTATTCAGTAAGATTATTACAGAAAAATTTCCCAATCTTAAAAAGAGAAAAATATCACTCACATAACAGAAGCATACAGAACACCTAATAGACAGGATTCTAGAAGAAATACATCATAGTAAAAACACTAGACTTGTGTAGCAAATAGCTTATTTTTAAGTGCTACAAAATCAAAGAAGGCACTACATTACACTGGAAAGAAAATCAGAATCACTGTGAACTGCTCCACACAAACCCTCAATGAACAGAGAGCCTCAAAAGGTACTATGTGGGGCTGGGAAGGTGGCTCAGCGGTAGAGAGCTTGCCTTGCATGCATGAGGCCCTGGGTTCGATTCCTCAGCACCACATAAGCAAAAAGAAAAAAGCCAGAAGTGGCGCTGTGGCTCAAGTGGTAGAGCGCTAGCCTTGAGCTGAAGAGCTGAGGGGCAGCACCCAGGCCCAGAGTTCAGGCCCCAGACTGGACTCCCCCAGCCCCCTCCAAAAAAAAGGTACTATGTACCCATGTAATTGTAACTCCTCTGTAAGGTATTCTCACAATTAAAAAAAAAAAGGTACTATGTAGCCCTGAAGACCCACAACTGCCATCCCAGACTAGTATACACAGAGAAGGTAGCATTGACATTCGACAGAGAAGCTAAAACTTTTAAGAATGAAGAAAAATTAAAGGAATTTATGAACAATAAGCCAGCACTACAAAAATATGAAAAGGAAGAATATAATCTGAAGAAAACAATCAAGATCAGAGAACCATATGAGATAGAAATCACTAGGAGATCAATTTAGAAAGCACAGGAAAAAGAAAGAAGCAAAATACAGGAAAGCAAGAAAATGGCAGGGAACATATCTCTCTATAATAACTGTAAACATTAATGGACTCAATTTTCCAATCAAAAGAAAAAGAACCACAGAATGGATCAGAAAACAAGATCCATCCATTTTTTTTTCTCCAAGAGACCCATCTCACAGCCAAAGACAGAAAACAAACTCTGAGTAAAGGGATGGAAGAAGATCTTCCATGCAAATACACCCAGCAAGAAGGCAGGGATTGCCATTTTGATTTCTGACAAAATAGACTTCTCATTAAAATCAGCACAAAAAGACAAACAAGTTCATTAAACATTAATACAAGGAACAGTCATAGTCATCAATTTATGTCACCAAACAATGGAGCCCCTAAATACGTTAAACAAATACTTTCAGACTTACAGACCAAGATAGACCCAAATATAATAGTAGTAGGAAACTTTAATACCTCACTCGCACCAAAGGATAGGTTAACCAAACAGAGGATAAGCAAAGAAGCCTCTGAACTAAATGACACCATATCCCAAAATGGACTTAACAGACATCTACAGAGTTTTCCAATCAACAACGACCCAATATACATTCTTGTCAGCAGTCCATGGAACTTTCTCCAAAACAGATGATATCATAGTTCACACAAAGAACATAAGCAAATATAAGAGGGCTGACATAATCCCATGTATTCTATAGTAGACTCAAACTAGTTCTTAACAAAACAAAGCATTCGGCAGAATTTACTCAAATACATGGAGGTTGAACAGCAAGCTACTGAATAACAACGGGGTCACAGAACAAATTAAAGGAGAAATTAGAAAGTTCCTACAATTCAATGAAAATAAAAATACATCACAACAGAACCTCTGGGACACAGCAAGCAAAAGCAGTGCTGAGGGGAAGTTTATTGACCTTAGTGCATACATCAAGAAAACAGAAGCAGCTCAAGCAAATAATCTCATGACGCAATTAAAACTTAGAAAACCAAGAAAAAACTGAATCTAAAGTTAATAGATGGAGAGAAGTAACCAAGATAAGAATAGAAATTAATGATAGAAATTTCACAACCTACATGAAATTAATGAAACCAAGCTGTTTTTTTGAAAAAAATTAATAGAACTGACAGACATCTTGCAGGAGTAACAAAAATAAAAAGAGGAGACTCAAATCAATAAGATCAAGAATGCCACATGAAAAATTTCAACAAACATCCAAGACACTCAAATGATTATAAGCAACCCTGTTTGCAATAGCTTCAAAAAGACTAAGATACCTAAAAATTAACCTAACCAAAGATATAAAGGATCTATTTAGTGAAAACTATAAAAATCTAAAGAAAAACTCAAAGAAGACCCCAGGAAATGGAAAGACCTTCCATTTTCATGGATAGGTAGAATCACTATCATGAAAATGGTCATACTGCCAAAAAATGATATACAAATTCAACACAATCCCCATCAAAATCCCAATGACCTTTACTGAAATAGAGAAAAGAATCCAAAAATTCATATGGAACAACAAAAGACTTAGAATAGCCAAAGAAATTCTAGACAAAAGTAATGCAGACAGTATCACAATACCAGATTTCAAGCTCTACTATAGAGGCATAATAACAAAAAGAGTTTGGTATTGGCACAAAAATAGTCCAGAAGACCAATGGAATAGATAGAAGACCCAGAAATAAAACCATGTATTTACAGTCAACTGATACTCGACAAAGGAGCCAAAGACATACAGTGGAAAAAACAGCCTCTTCAACTACTGGTGCGGGGAAAACTGGGCGGCCACATGCAGAAAACAAAAAGTAGATCCCAGGCTGTCGCCATGCACTAACATCAACTCAAAATGGATTGAAGACCTCAACATCAGACAGGACATAGTAGGAAAAACACTAGACCTTATAGGCATAGGCAGGAACTTCCTGAACAGAGTCCCAGGGGCACAAGAAATTGTAGAGACTGGACAAATGTGACTATATTAAAATAAAGTTTCTGCACAACTACAGAAATAGCTACCCAACTAGAAAGACAAACAACCAATTGGGAAAAGATATTTACCAGCAATGCATCAGACAAAGGCCTAATATCCATTATATACAGGGAGTTTAAGAAACAAATCCCTCAGCTCTTCAGCTCAAGGCTAGCGCTCTATCACTTAATCAACAGTGCCACTTTTCTGGTGGTTTATTGGAAATAAAGAGTCTCACAGACTTTCCTGCCTGGGATGGCTTTGAACCGTGATCCTCAGATCTCAGCCTCCTGAGTAATTAGGATTACAGGTGTGAGCTACAAGCACCTGGCCACTATATCTGTTATTCTGTAGTATATCTTTTAAATATCCTTTATTATGGATATCTAACTATATCTCTTATTATGTAGCTATTAGACTTTAATTAACATAACAAATCCTATTACTACTAGCTGTAAAATTATGTACATGTGTGATGCATCAGAATTAATTGTGATGGATAAAACAGATTTATGTCTTACCTCTGAATAGGTATTTAAGTTGTTTTTTAAATAGCCAGTAAGTGCAGCAACTTGGCATGCAAAATATGGTAGTGCCCAGTTTTCTCTTAAAGGAATGGAGTATTCAATTCTTGTTGTATCTACCCTAAAATAAACCACAGATAACAGCAAAAGCAAGGCATTATATTTTAGTACTATACTTTTCAAAGGCACTTTCAAAAATATTTCACTGTTCTTCCTAACAATCTTGTCAAGTAGGCATAGACAGATCCACCATTACTTAGACAATATCATGAGCAAATTCATACTGTCCCACCCCACCTCCTACCCAAGAAAGTAGAGTGTCACTATGTTAAACTTATAAACAGATGGACCTCAGTGACAATTTGCAAAAGGCATGCTTGCTCTGGGCAAACTTGACCCAAGCTAAGGCACTGTTTGTATAGATTTCTATCTAGACTAATATTCCTTCCCTTATCTACAATCTCTAGAGCACAATCTACACCATAATCAGCAGCCTGGCAGATGCAAAATTCTTACATGCTTTTGAAAGGAATAAGAAGCTCAAAGATGTGACTAAATCAAGGTCCTATGGCTGGTAGGGGGCACAAATATTAATATAATACTTCTGATAACAAGTTTAATTTTTTTTTCAGTCAACAAGGTACTTAGAATTACCTTTACAGTAATTTTTTGGGGGTGTGCACACGCATCTGTCCTGGGGCTTGAACTCAGGGCCTAGACACTGTCCCTGAGCCTTCTTTTTGCTCAAGGCTAGCATACTACCAGATCTGGCTTTTTGGTAGTTATTTAGAGATAGTCTCATGGGCTTTCCTGCCCTGGCTTTGAACCGTGACCCTCAGCTCTTGGCATCCAACGTAGTAATCTTTTATGTGATTAAACCAAGAGACTTTTGAAAATTCCTAGAGTCACAAATACAGAAAGTCTTCCTCCTTCACCCCCCGGCAGTATTGTAGTTTGAACTCAGGGGTTGTGCTTCCTATCAGGCCCTTTACACTAGAGCCACTCTGCCAAACTCTTTTTGCATTGGTTATTTCCAAGAAAGTGTCTAATTTTATGCCTGAGCTGGCCTGTACTGCAATCCTATTTGTGCTTCCTTTTGTCACTGGAATGTCAGGCCTGTACCACTATGAACAACATATCCTATCCAGAATTGCTCTTGAGCCCATTTAACTTTTAGGTAAAAGTTTCAGATTAAAGAAACACTGGAAACAGGCATCGGTGGCTCCGGCCTATAATCCTAACAAGGCTACGATCTAAGAATCACAGTTTGAAGCCAGCTTATTCTTACAAATCCAAGACTCTTATCTCTAATTAACCAGCAAAAACCACTGAACAGAAGGTATAGCTCAAGTGGTAGGACACTAACTGGAGTGATAAAGCCTAGCAAGAGGTGGAGGCACTGAGTTCAAACTCTGGTATACAGATAGATAGGTAGTAGGTAGATAACTAGGCAGGCAGCTAGGTAGGTGGTGAGTGCATGAGTAAGTGGATGGATGGATAGACAGATGATAAATGTGGTTTAGCCACATGCCTATGTTGCTATGTCTGCAAAGAGATACAAAATTGACAGAATTCTATATATACACAGAACAAAAGAGGATACTCTTAAGAGAGAAACACAAAGGCACAATGCCTAAGAGGCTCTTCATATTTATCTAAATAATATACACACTAAGATAAAAACAAGCTCTTTCTTCTTTTTTAAGTTTTTAATGATTCTGTCTTCTTCACCTTGTGTATGGTGTATTTAAGTGTATATCTTCCAAAGGGTTAGGGAGAGGGCCTCTGTACATTACCTCTATAATAATAAGTAAATTAATAATTTTAAAAAGATACAAACTGGTGCAATTTTTTTGGGGGGTCCGGTCATGGGGCCTGAGCGCTGTCCCTCAACTCTTCAGCTCAAAGCCAGTGCTCTACCACTTGAGCCACAGCACCACTTCCGGCTTTTTTCTTTTTGCTTATGTGGTGCTGAGGAATCCAACCCAGGGCCTCATGCATGCAAGGCAAGCGCTCTACCACTGAGCCAACTTCCCAGCCCCCAAACTGGTGTAATTTTTAACTGTTGATTAAGTGACAAATAAACATAAAGATAACAGCTTTAAAACAAAATAAATCTATTGGCTCACAAAGGCCAAGAGAGTATGGTTGAATTCTCACTCTGACTAAGCTAATATCAATGCATCAGCCAGGGTTATGGTTCTCATCAGGAGTTTACAGTCTTCTTAAAAATAAGCTCACTACGGACTGAGAATGTGGCTCAGTGGTAGAGTGCTTGCCTAGCATGCATGAAGCCCTGGGTTTGATGACTCAGTACTACATAAACAGAAAACACCAGAAATGGTGCTGTGGCTGAATTGGTAGAGTGCTAGTCTTGAGCAAAAGCAGCTCAGGGACGGTGCCCAGGCCCTGAGTTCAAGCTCCAGGACTGGCAAAAAAAAAAAAGCTCACTGGCAGAATTTACTTCCTCCTTGCTTCAAGCCAGCCATAATTTAGTGAATCTTTTTTGTGCTTTGAATATCTCTAATTATCCTTCTACAGAAGCTTAAGAAAGCTCCCTGCTCCTAAGGGCTTGTATAATTAATTAGATCAGCCCAAAGGGTAATCTTCCTACTTTAACGTAAACTATGTCATGTAGCATAATACAGGAATGATAACAAGTTTGAGATTAGAGTTGGGAGTCTTGGGAAGAAGAAACACTTCAGAACTCTGACTAACAGAATAACAAAAAAATTATAAATATCAATTAAAATACCTATCTTACCTGTTAATAATAAACCACGCAACAGTAAGTATTCCTGCTAGCCATGTTCCACTCATAAGCCAACTTGTAACAAATAAAGCAGTAACATATATTCCTTGTAATCCAAAAACAATACCAATATAAAAATACACTGGCTCAATAACCTCCTAAATGGAAAAAAGAAAGGGAGTTAAAATAGGACGACATTAAACAATTTGAGGATTCTCAAGTATGTGAGACATTAAAGCAAAAGAAAAATACATACATTGCTACCAGTTGCTTGATATAAAACACTGGCAATAAGTTCTGGATATAGAGACATTTGTTGTACTGCATTTATAGTCTTCAGAGAGACAGTTTTGTTATTGTGTGTCAATTCATAAACACCTAAAGAGAAAGATTTTTCTCCAGATTATTAATTCTGCTTTTATAATGATTAAACATATCACTCACTGTTCAACAAATATTCAAATATTTACTATTAATGATATTCCAAATACATACCCTATAACTTTTTTTTTATTAAGAACATTACGAAGGAATAATGTTACATTCTAAGATAAACTCCCACATTCTAAGGGCCCAATATTGAAAAATAATGTTAGAATTTAGAAAACTGTTATCAAAAATACAACTGCTGGGCTGGGAATATGGCTTAGTGGTGGAGTGCTTGCCATGCATGCATGAAGCCCTGGGTTTGATTCCTCAGTACCACATAGAAAGAAAAAGCCAGAAATGGTGCTGTGGCTCAAGTGGTAGGACACTAGCCTTGAGCACAGAAGGCTCAGGGACAGAATCCAAGCCCTGAGTTCAAGCACCAGGAACACACAAAAAAGAAAGAAAGAAGGAAAGAAAAAGAAAGAAAGAGAGAGAAAGAGAGAAAGAAAGAGAGAAAGAGAAAGAGAGAGAGAGAGAAAATACAACTGCTGGGTGCTGGTGGCTCACACCTGTAATCCTGAGAGTTATGATTCAAAGCCAGCCCAGGCAGGAAAGTCTGTGAGACTTTATTTCTAATTAAGAAAATTGGAAGTCAAGCTCAAAGTGGTAGATCCAAGTGGTAGATCATTAGCCTTGACCAAAATAGATCAGACAGCACTCCAGTCCCTGAGTTCAAGCCCGATGACCACCACCACCACCACCAACAACAACAAAAATCTGTGATTACCATACCTCTTTCAAATGAAGGTGCCTTTAACATATCTTTATAATAGGAGTAATAAATAGCACTGTCACCTTTAAATGTGATTTCCCGTTCAAGCTCCTAAAATAAAATAAAATGAATATTTAAGGAGAAGTATTTAAATTTCAGCTATAATCTTCCTTTTCTCACTTCATTTTCTAAATTAACATGATATTATTTACCTTTTATTCATGGATAAGTGAATTTCCTCTAATAAAGAGGCTAAAGTTTTCAATAATCTGGCAACATTTTAATGAAACACTACCTATAAAAAAAATCTAGAAGAATAACCAACAGAATGGCCTCCCTATACCAAAAATAGTAACTCAGACAATAAATTAGTGTCAAAAGCCAAAAATACAAGATAAATACATGAATACAAAAATAAATACATGAAGAAGGTAGCATTTGCTATTACTATTCCATGTATTTATGTACCTAGATTAACAAGACTATAATTAGTACTTTTCCAGATCAGCAGATACCTAATCAGGGCTTTTCAAATAAATGTTCAGAAATATAAGCAAGACTTCAAGACTAGCAAGACTAGTTCAGTGGTAGAAAGCTTGCCTGGCACGCAAGGGCCATAGTTTAAATCCCAACACAGCAAAAGGAAAAAAGAAGTCCTAAAATTAAGTTGTGAAAACTAAAACTATAGGATACTATGTATATTTTACACTGAATAAACATTTTACAAGTCTATAATTTTTATTTGTTTAGCCATGCTAGAGATCAAACCCAGGATCTTGTACAATCTAGACAAGCACTCTACCACTAAGCTATATCCCTAGCGCTGAAGATAGCTTTTTAAATCAAATGATTTGCTTTCATGCATAAAACCAGTGGAGTTGCAAAAATCTGAAATCCTAAGTGTTTCCAAATCTGGAATTTTATGAGCACTGACATGACATAGTAGAGAATACATCTTGCTAGGCGCGAGTGGTTCACGCCTATAATCCTAGCTACTTAGGAGGTTGAGATCTGAGGATTCCAATTCAAAGCCAGCCTAGGCAGAAAAGTCCCTGTGATTCTTATCTCCAATTAACCCCAGATGTGGTGCAGTGGCTCAAGTGGTAGCGTTAGCCTTGAGCACTAAGAGGCTCAGCGACACATCCACTCCCTGAGTTCAAGCCTCACAACCAACAAAATAAAAGAGAATACGTGAGTCATGGATCAAATAGTACAGTGCCTGTTAGCAATCTTACAAGGTCCTAAATTCAAACTCCAGTACCACTGAGAGATGGAGAGACAGAGAGACAGACAGAGAAAGAGAAATAACAAAATAAAACAAAAGCTGGGCATTGGTGATTCATGCCTGTAATCCTAGTTACTCAAGAAGCTGAAATCTGAGGATCTTTTTCAGTTTGAAACAGCCCAGAAAAAAAAATACCATGAGATTCTTATCTCCACAATTAACCATCAAAAAATCAGAAGTGGAGCTATGGTATAAGTGGTAGAGCACTAGCCTTGAGCAAAATAGCTCAGGAACAGAGCCCAGGCTGGGTCAAGGCCCAGGATCAAGCCCCAGGGCAGGCACAGGTAGAGGAGACGGAAAGGTAAGAAAGAGGGAGTGGGAGAGGGAGAGGGAGGGAAGACTCGATAGTTGACCTCACTTAAGGGGTAATAGTAAAAACAGAGGAACACTAAAAGTATTTTACAAAGTGTATGTGAAATATACACAAATATGATGTTAGACTTGGGACCCATCCCCAAAATACCTCACTATATAAGAAGGTAATAACAAGCCAGGCACTAGTGGTTCATGCCTATAATCCTAGATGCTCAGGAGGCCAATATCTTATGATTGAGGTTCGAAGCCAGCCTAGGCAAGAAAGTCCATGAGACGCTTATCCTTAAATAAGCACCAGAAAACTAGAAGTAGTGCTGTGGCTCAAATTGGTAGAATGCTAGCCTTGAGCAAAAAAGCTCAGGGACATTGCCCAGGCTCTAAGTTCAAGCCCCCATTGACAAAATAAAAGATAATAACTACATTACACTATATTGTTATAAGGATTTAAAAGTCTATAAAATACAAATAACTTAAAGCCAAACATTAAACATAGTATTGAGGCCAGATCTTAATATTATTTTATTATTTTAACCCTTTCAAAAATGCTATAATACAACTCAAAAAATTTATATGCTTTAATCATGCTTGGCGTCTCAAGCTTGCAATCCTAGCTACTTCACAGGCATAGATGGCAGTCTTGAAGACAGCTCACAAGACTCCATTTCAGCCAAGGGCTAGGTACAATGTTACATGCCTGTCACCCCAATTATGAGGAAAACACAGTGAGTAGGCATGGGCATTTGCACCAAACACCGCAACTATGAAGGGGAGACAAAAAAAGAGGATTGTGGTCCAGATATAAAGCAAGAACCTAGCTTAAAAATAACCAATGCAGCCGGGCGCTGGTGGCTCACGCCTGTAATCCTAGCTACTCAGGAGGCTGAGATCTGAGGATCACGGTTCAAAGCCAGCCCGGGCAGGAAAGACTGTGAGACTCCTATCTCCAATAAACCACCAGAAAACCAGAAGTGGTGCTGTAGCTCAAGTGGTAGAGTGCTCACCTTGAGCTGAAGAGCTGAGGGACAGCGCCCAGGCCCAGAGTTCAAGCCCCACGACCGACAAAAAAAAAAAAAAATAACCAATGCAAGGGTTGGGGATTTAACTCAGTGGAAGAGCATTTGCTTGGCAAGTGCAAGGCCCTGAGTTCAGTCTTCAGCTTGACAAAAATTTAACATTAATAATAACCAGTGCAAAGAAGAGCAGCTGATGGAGTGACTCAAGAGGTAAAGTACCTGTTTAGCAAGTGTGAGGCCCTGAGTTCAACTCTCACTACCAAAAAGAAAAGGTGTTTGAATGTATACACATACATATATTTAATATATATCATATGCAAACATAGTATGTATGTATATGCATATATATACATATGTTGAAATTCCACACAAATTTTTGAAATGTGAGGCATCTAAACTACTAAGAGCCTGATTGAATGCTGTAGGTTATTATTATTGAAAGTTGCTGTAGGGAGGCAGCTTGATTTGACCACAGCTATCTTGAGACATGACTGCTTTGATTGCCCCAGAGTAACCTTGTTTGTTTTCTCCCATAGTTTCACAGCATTCTATAGACAAAACCATTCCACTGGTATGTGGAATGACAGTACCAAGAATGTGCCTAAAGTACTTGATGTAAGCATGAGATAAACCAGGTACATTCTGGCTTGGGTAAAGTTACCTTTGTTCTGATCTTATAAGACCCATCCTTCTGATCTAAATCTCACTTAGCTTACTGCAACACACTGTATATATTTCTCAATAAATTATACTATGTGCAATCTTGATCTGCCTATTTCTATTTTCAGTCTCATGAGAACTTAGATCCAGTTCTAATAAACTGAGAGCAGGAATTTCTTGAACAGTCTGTCCCTGATAAACCAACTGCACCAGAAGAGTACCTCCGTAGTTTTTATTCCATGAGATGATATCTATCCTATGACATATTTTAAAGCTGTATGTTCTCAAAAGTTTTTATATCATTGTTTTTAATAGTCATAAATAAAAGAGCATTTGTCATATTTAACACACTTGCTTTTTCACATCCTAGCAAACACTCAAATATTTAACTTACTGTGTCATTTTCATATGTTCAAAATTCTTCTTACCTGCCTGTTGGAAAACCAAAATTTCCGTTCATGATATGCTGACAGGTAGAGTGCATACATCATGCCACTAGTAACTGCTGCAAGACAGCCAATGAAAAGCTTTGCAAAGCGTTGAAATAATATATCTGAAAAAGCATATTAAAGTAACCAAAAGGTAAGATGTACCCTTGATATGATATGGAAGAAAAGCATTCTAACTCAAAAGTTTCTTTTCAAAAAACACATATCCCTAGTCTAGTCATAAGAAAGGCAAATTCTAACAGAGAAATATCCTACAATATATATATATATATATATATCTACCTACAACTTCTGAAAGCTATTAAGATCATCGAAAACATGAAAAGGGCTGGGAAGGTGGCTCAGTGGTAGACTGCATGCATGAGGTCCTGGGTTCGATTCCTCAGCACCACATAAACAGAAAAAGCCAGAAGTAATGCTGTGGCTAAAGTGGCAGACTGCTAGTCTTGAGCTGAAGAGCTCAGGGACAGTGCCTAGGCCCAGAGTTCAAGTCCCATGACCAAAAAAACACCCAAAAAACAAAAAACAAAAGGAAAAAAAACACAAAAAGCCCGAAACTAGAAGAGCCAAAAAGAACGGAAGAAGATATGACAACTAAATACAATGTGCTATATGCTATATGGAATCCTTAAAAAGAAAAATTTAAAAACATTAGGTAAAAACTCTAAGTATTGGCTTTAGTTAACAGAAATGTGCCAATATTGATTCATTAATTGTACCAAATGTACATTAATATAAAATATTAGCAACTTTGTGCGGGGGAGGATAAAACTTGGAAACTGTAGTGTGGGCTCAATTCTGTAAATCCAAAATAGTTTCAAAGGTTAAAGTCTAGATTCTGCGTGATGAAAAAGTTCTGGATACTGATTTCACAAGGTAAGTATATGAAGTACTAAGTAAATCTATTAAGCACTATTAAGGTAAATATATGAAGCACTAATGGACTGCACACTTAAAAATATTGATTCTTTAACAGAGGCTAAGATATAAAGGATTATAGTTTAAAACCAGCCCTGGCTCTCTCGCTGCTCTTTTCTAGCTCTCTGCTCTCTCTGCTCTTTTCTAGCTCTTTTCTCTCTCTTTCCTCTCTTTCCCAGCTCTCTCTCATTCCCAGGCCTTTCCCAGCCACGTGGAGTGCCACCCTTGCCTGGTCCCAGCAGGTCTACTGAATAAACCTACCCCTTACCTGAATACCACTTGAGTGCTGCTGTTCTTACTCGGCTACCTCTTTTTTTAAAAAAATAAATAATTAAAACCAGCCCTGGCAGAAAAGTTTGCTAGATTCCAATTCCAAAATAATTAGTGAAAAGCATAATTAGAGGTAAGAATCAAGGGCTGGGAAGGTGGCTCAGTGGTAGAAAGCTTGCCTTGCATGCATGAGGCCCTGGGTTCGATTCCTCAGCACCACAAAAGAAAAAAGCCGGAAGTGGCGCTGTGGCTCAAGTGGTAGAGCGCTAGCCTTGAGCTGAAGAGCTGAGGGACAGCGCCCAGGCCCAGAGTTCAGGCCCCATGACCGGACCAAAAAAAAAAAAGGTAAGAATCAAGCCCTAGTCTATCAAATAGTGAGGCTGAGTTCAAACCCTAGTACCACGAAGAGAAAAAAAAAGTAATCAAGCTGGTTCCAGTGGCTCACATCTATAATCCTAGCTACTTACGGGCCTGGATATGGGAGCATCATAGTTTGATGATCATGAGAAAAGTTCATGAAACCCCTTCTCAACCTGGGCACACTGGTGAGAGCCTGTTATGCTAAGCTACCTGACAAGCTAAGATTACCAAAAAAGGGCAGAACAATCCTGAGACTTCCTCTCAACCGAGGGAAGCTAGACAGATAGTGTGTGCTTATCATCCCAGCAACAATGAAAAGTTTAAAATAGGCATATTAAGATCCAAATACAGCCAGGATTTAAAAAGCAAGACCCTATTTAAAAATAACAAGCAGGGGCTGGGAAGGTGGCTCAGTGGTAGAGCGCTTGCCTTGCATGCCTGAGGCCCTGGGTTCGATTCCTCAGCATCACATAAGCAAAAAGAAAAAAGCCGGAAGTGGCGCTGTGGCTCAAGTGGTAGAGCACTAGCCTTGAGCTGAAGAGCTGAGGGACAGCGCCCAGGCCCAAAGTTCAGGCCCCACGACCGGACCCCCCCAAAAAAAATAATAACAAGCAAAGGCTTAGTGGCAAGTGTGTTTGCCTAGCAAGTATAAGGCAGTGAGTATGGGTATAAATAAATAGTAACGAATAATAACTGTTTATAAACTGTTCCTAATAGCGCATGCATATCCTGTTTAAAACAGCATGTAGCATGTGAATTGCACATTTGCTCTACACAAATATACTAGCAAAAATAATATAATACAATATGAACTATAAAGAACTAATAAGAAAATGTTTCTACAGTGGCCACTTGGAAAAGAACTTCAAGATTCCTTTTTAATGTTCATTTTATATTTTTATTCTTTCTCTAGGGCTCAGACAGTGGATGGGAATGTAGCTCAGAGCTCAGAAGAGAATCACTTGCCTAGCATGCACGAGACCCAATTAAAAAGGAAAAAGGACTTCAACTATTGTAACTTAACCCTACAAATCAGTATCTATTATAAAAATACATATTTAGCTGGGCATGGTACACATGCCTATGAAGCTAGCACTCAGGAATCTAAGACAGGAGGACCTTAAATTCAAGGCCAGCTTTGGTGCATAGCAAGTTTGAGGCTACATAGTGAGACTCTGACACAAGAATTTAAAAATATATATTCTTTCAATTTCTATACAAAAAGACTTTACCTTAATATTAAATATTTTGATCTTTGTAAGGTATCAAAGATGGAAGAGACATAAAACTTTTCATGTTTAATATAAATGTGGGTTTTGGAGAAAATAAAGAACTCTTGGCCATAGAAATTGTCTTTTAAAATGATCAGTTTAAAAATTTAAAGTAAACCAGGCACAAGTGGCTCATGCTTGTAATCCTAGCTATTCAGGAGGCTGAGAACTGAGCATTGTGGTTCAAAGGCAGTCTGGGCAGAGAAGTCCATGAGACTCTTATCTCTAATTAAGCACAAAAAAGCTGGAAGTGGAGCTATAACTAAAGATGTAGAGCACCAGCCTTGAGCACAAAAGCTTTAGGGATAGCACCCAGGTCCTGAGTTGAAGCCCCACAACTGGATTTTTTTTTTTTTTTTTTTTTTTGCTAGTCCTGGGGCTTGAACTCAGTGCCTGGGCACTGTCTCTGAACTTCTTTTGCTCAAGGCTAACACTCTACCACTTGAGCCACAGTGCTACTTCCGGCTTTTTGAGGTACTGAGGAACCAAATGCAGGGCTTCATGCATGCTAGGCAAGCATTCTATCCCTAGGCCACATTCCTAGCCCTGGGGAAATTTTTTTTTTTTTAAAATAAAGGATCTAGCCGGGCGCTGGTGGCTCACGCCTGTAATCCTAGCTACTGAGGAGGCTGAGATCTGAGGATCGCGGTTCAACGCCAGCCCGGGCAGAAGAGACCGTGAGACTCCTATCTCCAATAAACCACCAGAAAACCGGAAGTGGAGCTGTAGCTCAAGTGGTAGAGCGCTTGCCTTGAGCTGAAGAGCTGAGGGACAGCGCCCAGGCCCAGAGTTCAAGCCCCATGACCGACAAAAAATAAATAAATAAATAAAGGATCTAACTTTTAATTAAGTTGTTAGTTATAAACCAGGCTAATCAGGTAACTTCTATGTGGACCAAATCCTTCATTTGTAAAATGCTGATCAGGCCTAGAAAAACAAAGAAAGATTATATAAATGTTAATAGTAATATAGAGTGCAGTTGAGGAATATCTAATGTTCAAGAAAAAGTTAGGCCGGGTGCCGTTGGCTCACGCCTGTAATCCTAGCTACTCAGGAGGCTGAGATCTGAGGATCGCGGTTCAAAGTCAACCTGGGCAGAAAAAGACCATGAGACTCCTATCTCCAATAAACCACTAGAAAACTAGAAGTGGCACTGTAGCTCAAGTGGTAGAGTGCTCGCCTTGAGCTGCAGAGCTGAGGAACAGTGCCCAGGCCCAGAGTTCAAGCCCTATGACCGACAAAAAAAAAAAAAAAAGAAATAAAAGAAAAAGTTACATTAATAAAAGAAAGGCAGAACTCAATTTCACAAAAAGTGCTAGGGTAGAGCACCGGCTAGGCAAGCAAGTAAAGTGAACATAATATCCTGGGTTCAAACCCCAGTACTGCAAAAATACTAAATAAGCCAGGCACCAGTGGCTGATGCCTGTAATACTACCTACTCAGAAGGCTCTATCTGAGGATTGTGGTTTGAAGCCAGCTGGAGCAGCAAAGTCCCTGAGATTCTTATCTCCAATAAACTACTCAGAAAAAGCCAGAAGTAGCTGTGGCTCAAGTCATACAGTGTTAGCTTTGAGCATCAAGAGGCTCGAGGACAGCACCCAAGCCCTGAGTTCAAGCCCAAGGACCAGAAAAAAAAAAGTACTAAATTCATCAACCAAAGTATTAGCCATTTCTGCCATTATAATGTGGCTTGCAACATTTCTTCCTTGTAATCACAGTAGTTTCTGTATCCCATTGTCTAGATAACTTGCTTGGGCCAACAGAATGAGAGTAGAAGTGACAGTCGGCCATTATAGCAGAAACTTTTAAGAGTCACTGTATGAGCTGGGTGCCACTGGCTTATAATTCTAGTTATCCACGAGGCTGAGATCTGAGAACTGTGCTTCAAAGCAAGCCCAGGCAGGAAGGTCTATGAGACTCTTATTTCCGAGAGTTATTGTATGATTCTAGCTATTTTCTTTCTCTCTTTTTTTTTTTTCTTCCAGTCCTGGGGCTTGAACTCAGGGCCTAGGCACTATCCTTGACCTTCTTTTTGTTCAAAGCCAGCACTCTACCAATTGAGCCACAGTGCCATTTTTGGCTTTTTCTGTTTATGTGGTACTGAGAAATTGAAACCAGGGCTTTATGCATTCTAGGCAAGCACTTTACCACTAAACCACATTCCCAGCCCTTGCTCTTATCTTCTAGCCTAAGAAAAATACGTCCTAAATAGAGACAGTTCCTTCATGATAAGTGAAACTATACAAGCCAACCTACATGTAACATAACATAAATCATCAATAAATATTTGTCATAAAGCACTGAGATTTATGGGAGCTGTTTTACATCAAAATCTAATAAAAGTTAACCACATGACTAATCTCCAAGTATGCTTAATTTGGCTAGGGACAGACCTCAGCGACAGAACACTTGACAAATATGCACAAGGCTATGGGTTCCATCCCAACACGAAAACACAAAATAAGGCAAAACAAACCATCATTTAAAAAAAAAAAAAAAAGGGGGGCTGGGAAGTTGGCTAAGTGCTTGCCTTGTATGCATGAGGCCTTGGGTTCAATTCCTCAGCACCACAAAAGCAGAAAAAGCCAGAAGTGGTGCTGTGGCTCAAGTGGTAGAGCGCTAGCCTTGAGCTGAAGAGCTGAGGAACAGTGCCCAGACCCAGAGTTCAGGCTCCATGACCAGCAAAAAAAAAAAAAAAAATTCAAAGAAAGTAGTTCAGCCAGGTGCTGGTGGCTCAAGCCTATAATCCTAGCTACACAAGAAGCTGAGATCTGAGGATCAAGGTTCAAAACCAGCCTGGGCAGGAAAGTCTGTGAGATTCTTATCTCTAATTAACCACCAGAAAACCAGAAGTGGTGCTGTGACTCAAGTATTAGAGGGCTAGCCTTGTGCTGAAGACAGTACCCAGGTACAGAGTTCAAGCCCCAGACTGACAAAAATAAAAGCTCATATAGTTAAGCTATTTTTAGTACTAATAATAGAAAGCTGAAAAATCTATGTAACTTACGTTTTGGAGTTCTTTCAGGAATTGGAGTGTCATTGATTTTCTCTTCTTTGGCAGATCTTTGACTTTCTGAAGACTTTGGTTTTTTCCTTTGGCGCAGTTCTACAGTTGGTCCTTAAAAATTGTGAGATATTATAATGTATGCATCAATCATCTGCATATGCTGATTAGCTTTTTGTGTGTGTCAGTCATAAGGCTTGAACTCAGGATCTGGGCACTGTCCCTAAGCTTTTTCAGTCAAAGTTAGCTACATTGAGTCACATTTCTGGTTTTCTGGTGCTTATTTGGAGATTAAGAGCCTCACAGACTTTCCTGCCTCAGTTAGCTCTGAACCATGCTCCTCAAATCTCAGCCTCCTGAGTCACTAGGATTACTGGCACCTGGCTTAACTTTTATCATCTAAACCAAGACATACTGAATCTTTAGTAATGCCTAAGGTAACTTTTTTCTTTTTTTTTTTTGGGGGGGGGGGTCTGATCATGGAGCCTGAACTATGGGCCTGGGCGCTGTCCCTCATCTCTTCAGCTCAAGGCTAGCGCTCTACCACTTGAGCCACAGCACCACTTCCGGCTTTTTTCTTTTTGCTTATGTGGTGCTGAGGAATCGAACCCAGGGCCTCAGGTATGCAAGGCAAGCGCTCTACCACTGAGCCACCCTCCCAGCCCTTCCTGAGACTCTTATCTCCAATAAACTACTCAGAAAAAGCCAAAAGTGACACTGTGGCGCGAGTGGCAGAGTGATAGCCTCAAGCACAAAGAGGCTCAGGGACAGTGCCTAGCCCCTGAATTCAAGTCCTAGGACTAGCCAAAAAATAAAAACAGGAATTAATCTCTTTAGGACTGGAAAGGAGGCTTTTCTTTTCTCTAAGTAATGAGTTAAGGCTGTGAAATATAAATCTAAATAAATAAGTCAAAATAGCAGAATCTGTTGCTATTGATCAGATGGACGGTTCTGCAGCTTTAGTGTTAAAAAAAATGAGTAAAACAAAGGTATTTTTAAAGTTTCAAAGAAAATTCGTATGTTCACTAATATATCTTTAAACACTATTATAGTAAAAAAAAAATTGTTCATTTATTGAATCCAGCCTGACAAGTCTAAGTTTTATAAATTTTTTTCACCATTTCTTCTTTTTTCTTTTTTTTTTTCTGTCCCTAGTCTGGGTACTATTCCTGAGGGGATTTTTTTGCTTAAGGATAATAACTCTCTAGCACTTAAAGCTACAACTCTACTTACCAGCTTTTTTGGTGTCTAATTGGAGATAAGAATCTCATAGGAGGGCTGGGAAGATGGCTCAATGGTAGAAAGCTTGCCTTGCATGCCTGAGGCCCTGGGTTCGATTCCTCAGCCCCACATAAGAAAAAAGCCGGAAGTGGCGTTGTGGCTCAAGTGGTAGAGCGCTAGCCTTGCGCTGAAGAGCTGAGGGACAGCGCCCAGGCCCAGAGTTCAGGCCCCAGGACCGGACCCAAAAAAAAAAAAAAGAATCTCATAGGAACCGAAAACCTGTGGCTTACACCTCCTAACTACTCAGAAGGCTGAGATCTGAAGATCGCGGTTCAAAGCCAGCCCGGGCAGGAAAGTTCTTGAGACTCTCCAATAAACCCCTAGAAAAGCAGAAGTGGCGCTGTGGCTCAAGCAGTAGAGTGTTCGTCTTGAGCTGAAGAGCACAGCAACAGCGCCCAGGCCCAGAGTTCAAGCCCCACGGCCGACAAAAAAAAAAAAACTTCTCAAAGGGCTGGGAAGGTGGCTCAGTGGTAGAGTGCTTGCATGAATGAGGCCCTGGGTTCGATTCCTCTGCACCACATAAGCAGAAAAAGCAGGAAGTGGCGCTGTGGCTCAAGCGACAGAGTGTTAGCCTTGAGCTGAAGAGCTGAGGGACAGCGCTGAGGCCGCATTCAGGCCCCACAACCGACAAAAAATAAATAAATAAATCTTACAGACTTTCTTTTCTGGGTGGGCTTCAAACTGTGATCCTCAGCTCTTAGCCTCCTGAGTAGCTAGGATTACAAGTGTAGGCCACTGGCTGGCTTCACAAGATTACATTTTTAACACTATCAAGAAAAACCAAACTGCTACTCAGGAGGCTGAGATCTGAGGATCCAAGTTCAAAGTCAGCCCAGGCAGTAAAGTCCTTGAGACTCTTATCTCCAATAAACCACTAGAAAACCGGAAGTGGTGCTGTGGCTCAAGCGGTAAAGCGCTAGCCTTGAGCTGAAGAGCTGAGGGACAGCGCCCAAGCCCAGAGTTCAAGTCTCACAACCAACCAAAAAAAAAAAAAGAAAAAAGAAAAACCAAACTAAATGAAAATGGCTATATACCCACAAAAACAATCCGCTATTTCATCTCTGGTCCAACAATCTTTGATGAAATAGTAGGGCTAAAATGTCTTGCAAATGTCCATCCAGAGACTATATATAATTTCCAACACTCTTCTATTGAAGTTTTGTCACTCCTTTTGTGTGTGTGTGTCTGTGTTCTTTGTTGGTATTGGGCTTGACTTCAGGGCCTTGGGAACTGTTCGTGATGACCTGAGCATTTCTGCTCAAAGATAGCCTAGCTCTCAACCACTTTCAGCCACAGCTCCACTTCCGGTTTTCTGATGGTTAATCGGAAACAAAAGTACCGGGACTTTTCCTGCCTGAGCTGGCTCTGAACAACGACCATCAGATCTCAGCCTACTGAGTGGCTAGGATTAGAGGGGTGAGCAACCAGCGCCTGCGCCGGACTGTCACTTCTTTCTTTACTCCAACATTTGATTCAGGAAATATAAGAACACCCACCCACCCATCCTCTACTACATCAGGAAAACTTTTTTAGAAGTTCAGATTTCAAGAGTATTCAGTTGGAAAATACAGAATATATAAGAATGTAAATGACAAAAGATATAAATGACATCAGGATACAAGTGAAATATATAGACCAATGTAAGGTATTTTGTGTTTGTGTATATACCGGGGCTTGAACCTAGGGCTTTATGTTCCCCCTCAGTTCTTTTGCTCTACCACTTGAGCCAAAGCGTCATTTCCAGCTTTTTGCTGGTTAACTGGAGAAAAGGGCCTATAAGATTTGTCTGCCGGGAGTTAGCTCCAAACCACCGTCCTTAAATTTCAGCCTTTTCATCCCCCAAGGTGTAGTCCAAGCTCTGCCCTTTGACATTATCCCTCAACTGTAAATAAACTACCTTTTTTCAATCATTGCGTGTCCAGTCCCTTCCAATGTACTTAGCAGGTTTATCTCAAATCCCTCCCTCTATGTACCCCCGTCCCTTCTCCTCCAGGGTCTTTGTTTTGGTTAATATTTAAACATAAGGGTTTTGATTAAACTATCATATTCATAAGTACACTCTGGATCTAAATCAACATCTTCTACACGTTCCCTATTCGGTTAATGCTCAGCTAATGACCCTCAGCTGACACCACACATACACATAGATACACACTTTACACACATACACGTGTGCTCACACTTTTCTCTGGCTACTAACTTCCAATGTTAAGCCTCACTTTGGCATCCTCTGAGGCAGACGTAACTCCGGGCTTTTCCTTCGACTGCCCCCGAGATCATGCACAAAATCCCTCCGTCCGCCCCGCTCGCCCGCCCGCCCGCCCCGCCGCTCCGCGGCTGCCTCGGCCGCCTGCAGCCCAGGCCCTGGGCCCCGGGGCCACCGCCCCTTTCCCGAGACCGGCCTCGGCAGTTAAGGAGCTGGACTCCGAGTGTCACCTTCTTCCTTTGCCATGGTCTCGGCGCAGGCCCGGGTGGTCCTCCGGTTCCCGCACGGCCCGGAGTCTGCCACCCTCCTCGTCGCCGAACCCTTCGGCCGCCCCGCACCCGCTCCCGCGCCCGCCGCCGCGCCCCCACTTCCTGACCCGCCTCCTTTCCGTGTGTCCACCAATGGAGGCCCCGGAACCAAGGTTCCGGAAGCGGAGCGCAGCCGGGACGCTTCTCAAGGTGCACCAGGGCCTGCGCGAGCGGGTTGTGGCGCCGCCTGCTTCCGGGAGGCGACGCTGCTCGGCCTCCGCTGCGGGCCTCCGCCGCGGGCCTCCACCGCGGGCCTGTCCCGGCGGATCCCTTGAGCGCACGAGTCGAAGACCAGTACCAGCCACACCTTCCGGGATCCCCTGATTCGGGTCCATTGCAAAGCAAGTCACAGAGCTAGTTGTCTAGAACGGGAACCCAGGGCTCGGAGCAGATGCCTGGGCTGCGGACCCACGGAGGTTTCAGATCGGGACCCTTCGTCAGGACGAGGACGCTGCCCTCCCTTCCTTTTTTTTCTTTAGTTTGTGTGTGAAGCCGGGCGCCGGTGGCTCCCGCCTGTAATCCTAGCTACTCAGAAGGCTGAGATCTGAGGATCGCGGTTCAAATCCAGCCCGGGCAGGAAAGTCCGTGAAACTCTTATCTCCAATTAACCACTAGAAAACCGGAAGTGGCGCTGTGGTAGAGCGCTTGTCTTGAGCTGAAGAGCTGAGGGACAGTGTCCATGCCCAAAGTTCAAGCCCCACAGCCGGCCCCCTACCCCCCTCCAAAAAAAAAAAAGAATTATGTGCTGGTCCTGGGTTTTGAACTCAGGACCTGGGCGCTGTCCCTGAGCTTTTGTGCTCAAGGCTAACACTCTACCTCCGGAGCCACAGATGTGTCTTGAGCTTTCCTAACCATGCTGGCGTCAAACTGTGATCCTCACATCTCAGCCTCCTAAGTAAGTTTCAAGCCTGACCTCTTGTGTCCAGCTCCTTTTGTCTTCCATTGTTTGTGTTGTTTTCGTTTGGTCTTGTTGTATAGCTCAGGCTGAGCTCATATTTGCTATTTTCTTCCCTCCTCTTCTCAAATGCTGCAATTACAGATGTTCACTACCGCACCTGGCTTAGCAGAGCTTTTTTTTTGTCAGTCGTGGGGCTTGAACTCTGAGCCTGGGCGCTGCCCCTGAGCACTTCAGCTCAAGGCTAGCTCTTTACCACTTGCATCCCAGCGCCACTTCCAGCTTTGTGGTGCTTAATTAATTAGAGATAATAGTCTCAAGGACGTTCCTGCCGGGCTGGCTTTGGACCGCGATCCTCAGATCTTATCTTCCTGAGTAGCTTGGATTACAAGCCTGAGCCACCGGCACCCAGCCAGCAGAACTCTTAATTATTACAAAAGTTTTGTTCTGGTTCTGGGTCACCAAAAATGGTGAAATAAGCGTTTTATGATTAGATTACCTTAGAGAAAAAAAAAAGATACTAATACAGTTTATGAAGAGTGTGTATAGGTACTACACAACACAACAGTTTTCATTTGTAATGCCATATTTTCACTTCAAGCACCAGGACCGTTTCTCCAACCTTACTTGGTAGTAAATTTAGAAATGACAATAATTTTAGAGCTGGAGGGGGGAAAAGCATAGAATTCACTGAAGTCATTGAGTAATTATGGATGTTTCTTTCTTAGCAAGCAGCAAGATTGTCCTAAAAGTACCTTCATTAAGCTAGGATATTTGGGGAGAGTTGTTTTATGTTTCATTGACTGAGTATGTCATGCACCTAAATATGTCTTTGGCCTTCAGTCAGCACTGCACTAACAAAAAACAGTGGACCAAAAAAGGCCACAGGTCAAGCTGTGAAATGAAAAAAATGAGCCTTGAGAACCACAAAATATGACAGGGACCCTAGACATGGACTAGCCCATTTTTATGGAACATCAAAACTCAGTATTTTCCAAGTCTATGGTCTTAAGGTAATAGATGTACTGTAGTGTTTTATTATGATTGTTGTGAGAATTGAACCTAGGGCCTCACTCAAAGGAAAGCTGCTCTACCAGTTGAGTCATACCTCTAGCCCCTTTTTAAAAAGCTTTGTTTTGTTTATGTCTGTCATGGGGCTTGAGACCTGGGTGCAGTCCCTGAGCTCTTTTGCTCAAGGCTAGCACCCTACCACTTTGAGTTATAGGTCCACTAAAAGTTTTCTGGTGATTAATTGGAAAGAAGAGTCTCATAGACTTCCCTGCCCAGGCTGGCTGCACTCTGATCCTCAGATCTCAGCCTCCTGAGTAGTTAGAATTACAGGCCTGAGCCACCAGCACCTTTTTTTTTTACTAGTTTTGAGAGAGTTTACTTAATTTAGGAGTAATCTCCAACTTGTGATCCTCCTACCTCTGCCTCTCAAGAAGCTAAAATTATAATCACCGTCACTACACTCTGACATGCTATAATTTCATGATTACCTTGTAAATTTTCCTAGATTACTAAGAAGGGGGCAAAGCTTCTTAAAATGAGAAATGGAATCATTCAACCATTAGATGGAAATCAACAGAAAAAATTGTACCTCTAGAACCTTCCCTTGGGCCCTCAAGTCTAAGGATAACAAGAGTGGAATAGCCTACCCACAAGTCAGTGTAATCTAATATAAATGAAATAAGACATTTCTTGTTGAAAATATATTCTTTTTTCTTTCCTTCCTTCCTTCCTTCCTTCTTTCTTTCGCCAGTCAGGGTACCTGAACTCTGGGCCTGAGCACTGTCCCTCAGCTCTTCAACTCAAGGCTAGAGCCACAGCACCACTTCCAGCTTTTTCTGCTTATGTGGTGCTGAGGAATCGAACCCAGGGCCTCATGCATGCAAGGCAAGCGCTCTACCACTGAGCCACCTTCCCAGCCCCTTGAAAATAGATTCTTTATCTAAAAAGGCAAAACTCTTTAACTGCTCAAGACGTTGCATTGCCGCAGTCATTATAGGTAAGTTTTCAAGAGGTCAATCCAAAGGCAAGTAGCTTCCAGGTAGTACTGTGCATGGCTAGTAGACACATAGCCTTAAGATGACTTCAGTTGATTTTTTTTTTTCAGTCATAGGGTTTGAACTCTGGGCCTGGGCGCTGTCCCTAAGCTCTTTTGCTCAAGGCTAGCACTCTATCACTTGAGCCACAGCACCACTTCTGGTTTTCAGGTGGTTAACTGGAGATAGTCTTACAGACTTTTCTGCCCAGGCTGGCTCTGAACCTTGATCCTCAGATCTCAGCCTCCTGAGTAGCTAGGATTACAGGTGTGAGCCACCGGTGCCTGGCTTTCAGATGATAATTTTATTGACAGTTTTGCCAAAGCAACCAATGGGATGTTAGGTACCTATCCAAAATGTATACTCTTTGCTCCACTTGGACTAACCCCAAACATACCACATTTTCCCAGAGTTTCATGTACAAACTATTCTAGGAGCAGTATGATTTTTTTGCCACCTTCAAAAAGGATAAGGCTGAATCTGGAAGCAGTGGATGTTGTCAGGGAACAATGTGAAATATTCTGTGTTTTCAGAAGAGGACTGGGGTAAACTCAGAAATACAATGCTTGTCTAGCATGTGTGAAGCCCTGGATTCAGTTGCCAGCACTGAAAAAAAGAGTCTTTAGATTAGCTGTTAATTGGACCATGTAAACTTGGATGGAAGATACTATTCTTCAATGTGGCTCAGCATTAACATTCTTAGAAACATAACTAATTACTTAGTTATGTTTCTAAGAATTTGTAAGAACTATGAAATTCCAAAGTTATTTTCCTTTGTGACGTCAGGTAAAATTGGATTAAATTTCTTTCTCAGTGTAAACTTGAAAGTCTATAAATATATTAATAATTAAAAACAAATTATTTTAAAATTAAAATAAGAAAATGTAGATTAGGAGTACTAAATGAAGTAAAGCAATGGAAATTAAAATGTTCAAAGAAAATGTACCAAAAAATTACTGGCTAGCTGGATGCCACAGGCTCATACCTAAATCCTTAGCTACTCAAGAAACTGAGATTTAGCAGACCTCAATTCAAACCTAGACTCCATCTCCGAAGTAACTAGCCATAATAATAATAATAATAATAGTTGTTATTATTATTATTTTTTTTTGGCCGGTCGTGGGGCTTGAACTCTGGGCCTGGGCACTGTCCCTCAGCTCTTCAGCTCAAGGTGAGCGCTCTACCACTTGAGCTACATCGCCACTTCCGGTTTTCTGGTGATTTATTGGAGATAGGAGTCTCATGGTCTCTCCTGCCCGGGCTGGCTTTGAACCGCGATCCTCAGATCTCAGCCTCCTGAGTAGCTAGGATTACAGGCGTGAGCCACCAGCGCCCGGCCATAAGAATATTGCACTACTTTTTTTTTTTTTTTTTTTTGGGGGGGGTCCGGTGGTGGGACCTGAACTCTGGGCCTGAGCACTGTCCCTCAGCTCTTCAGCTCAAGGCTAGCGCTCTACCCCTTGAGCCACAGCACCACTTCCGGCTTTTTTCTTTTGTGGTGCTGAGGAATAGAACCCAGGGCCTCAGGCATGCAAGGCAAGCGCTCTACCACTGAGCCACCTTCCCAGCTATTATTATTATTATTAGGGTTGGAGGCATACTCAAATGGTAGAACACTAGCCAAACAAGCCACGTAAGATCTAGAGTTCAAACCTTATACCATCAAATGGAGGAGGTAGGGGGAGGAGGGAAAGGAGGACAAGAAAAGCTGCTGCCAATTAAATCTACAATACATAATGACAACCAGGATGTGATAATAATTAAAGATGACTGCTGAGGGACGTGAGGTAGATCTGATGGCAACATCTGTCACTCTGTTGATCATCAGAATTGACTTGGCTGATTGCTGGGCTGACAGGCATCCTATTCCTTCCTCACTCTCCACACGTCTCTCTCCCAAAGTTGCATTCAGTCTAGGGTATATGAGGAGTTGATCTCTCCCACTAGAACCTCCCAACAAGCCCTCAAATCTTGAGAATAATCATACTTTTTTTTTTTTCTTTTTGTCGTTGTCGGGGGGCTTGAAGCCAGGGCCTGGGCACTGACCCTCAGCTTTTTTTGCTCAAGGTTATGTTCTACTACTTTGAGCCACA